ACCTGCGGATGATTGGCCCTGGGCACAGGCTCTCTTTCTTCGGGGGCCAACTACAATTTCCCACTGGAGACTCTGTGGAGATTTTTTTCACAGCTGCAGGTGGAAAGCCCCATTCAAGGCAGTGGGAATCTGACAGCACCCTCAGTCATTTGCCTGTTCGCAGGAAATTGAACATGCAGAAATTACCTGCAGATGATCAGCCTGAATGCAGACAGTCTTTCAATCAGACAGGATGACTTTGTACACCATAAAAACAGCAGCTAATTACAGTCTACCAGAACAACTGGCATAGGTTTCTGCCTGTTGGATCCAAAATTTCCAGACATCTTAATAAGAGAGTATCAGGAACATCTCACAGGACAATTTTGCAGTTTGAAGCATATGCAGAAAAATTGCTGAAACAGTTGTATGAAAAATTGGATGAAACATGGGAACACTACTTTAATCCAGAACCTATGTAATAGAGGTATGCTGGATTATCCACTATGATGAAGGCAACATCTGTCATTTCTGTGGTGGCAACATATTGGGATATGGAGGGGGGATCATGACTGTGAGTCACCATAGGATTGACCAAGCAATCACTGCATATACTGTGCAAGTCTGGTAGTGAAAAGTCTATATAATTTAATAAACACCAAGGAGAGTTAACCTATGCAGTGTTCATTCACCAAGAAAGCATGCCAAGCCACACAGCAATTTCTTGCCATGCCTGACTATCTATTAATATAAATATGAACTGTTTCAACACTTGTTTACGTGATCTTACCCCTTGACCTTTAAAAAGATAGCACCTTTGGTAAATCATTTTGTTCGAAGACAATAGGATCCCCACGGCATCTCTGAAAATATTTTCTGGTCCTTTAAGGGGATTATGTAGAAAGTAACGGCACCATATTTTTTTGGATCATCCATTTATAAAGACAGAAAGATTGTATGGAACAACAAGAATTGTTTTATGACAAAGTCTACTGGTCAGCACATGTTACTGAGAATAATACAAAGTATAATAGAATTACATTAGTTACTGTATGCCCAAGTGTTGGGTCATGCTTGAGGTACAGTGACCTATGTCCTTCAGAGTGTAGGAGAACTATATTATGTCTAGTAATCGGTTGGTGTTGAAGGAGAGCTGGTACAGATTACAAAAGAATTGTATTCATGGACAGTGGTTAGGTTGTCTTAAAGCAGTGGTTCTCAACCTTCCTAATGCCGTGACCCTTTAATACAGTTCCTCATGTTGTGGTGACCCCCAACCATCAAATTATTTACCCAGCAATTATAATTCATGAGTGTCGTTTTACCTCCAATACTGCTGCTTTCAATACAGTAGCTGCTTTTAACAGAGTAGCTGCTTTCAATACAGCAGCTGCTTTCTACACAGTAGCTGCTCTTTACACATCGGAAATATGTGTTTTCTGATGGTCTTAGGGGACCCCTGTGAAAGGGTCGTTCGACCCCCAAAGGGGTCGCGATCCACAGGTTGAGAACCACTGTGTTAAAGGTATAGTATAGTAGGGTGTGTAGCACCCTCCTCTAGTTAAAAATCAAAAGGTTCCTCCTGCGCTGTTATGGACCCCAACCCTACCCTACAGCTGCTAACACTCAAACTGATACCAAAACAGTGCAATAAATAAATAAAAAATAGTGTAGCGCTACTAAACTAGATGACCATAGTTATTAATTCCTAAACTAATCAAACCTTAACGTGATTAGTGATAAACAATAAAAATAAATATTAATCTATGTATAATTGTGACGCAACCTCAAGTGACAGGGTCATTTTAGTGCCCTAAACAAGTGCCAACACATTATTAAACATAATTACTATAAAAAATTAAAAATTAATGAATACCGTGATAGATGCCACTTCAAATCTCAAAATAAGTCCAATAGTTGAAGAAGTAAGTGATGTCACATATACATGCAATGTGCAAAATGGTGCTCAATCGTGTAAGTGCCAGCACACTTTTCCATTCCAGCTGCAGTGCCTCCTCACTTCCTTTCTGCAACCCCTAAGGGCCAGAATGCCTTCAGGATCACCCTGGATCCTCAACAGAACCAACTGGTAGCTCTCCTTCCCAAACTGTTTCTTCCAAATTTCTCCTCTGTGTCCTTCAGGACCCTCTAAACAGGTATTCTGTGAAATATTTTCTGGTCCTTTATGGGGATTATGTAGAAAGTAACGGCACCATATTTTTTTGGATCATCCATTTATAAAGACAGAAAGATTTTATGGAACAACCAGATCTGTTTTATGACAAAATCTACTGGTCAGCACATGTTACTGAGAATAATACAAAGTATAATAGAATTACATTAGTTACTGTATGCCCAAGTGTTGGATCATGCTTCAGGTACAGTGACCTATGTCCTTCAGAGTGTAGGAGAACTATATTATGTCTAGCAATTGGTTGATGTTGAAGGAGAGCTGGTACAGATTACAAAAGAATTCTATTCATGGACAGTGGTTAGGTCGTGTTAAAGGTATAGTATAGTAGGGTGTGTAGCACCCTCCTCTAGTTAGGCTGCTAGGCTACATTTATTTTTTTACAGCAGCGATGGATTTTTTTTTACTCTTGTTTCTTGAGCTGGGTGTTTGATTTCTCTCACTTGATTCTGGATGAAGCTTCCAGAATATAGGGCAGTGAGATTCAAATAGCCAGAGTGAATGGGTGGCTGGGTAGGTGATAAATGTTCAGAAGGCCTGGACAGAGTGTTCTTTCCACTCCAGGGAGGGTTCCTGTTCTCCTGGGGCTTCTGCCCCTAGGAGATAGCTTCTGAGACAAGAAATTGCAGTCTGGGCCTTGGAGGACCCAGAGGAAATTGCTAAAGGATATTTTTTGAAGGGCACTGTACTGAAGTCCTGGTCTGGACAAGGATCCGTTGTCTACCTGTAAATGCTGAGAGGCAGTCAGCTCATGGGACATTTTGAGTAAAGACCTTGCTGTGAATTGTTGAGTATGCAATTGCTAGAAAGGAACTAAGTGCCAGAAGATGCTATATGGACTGAGACTGCTCTTATAGAGTCCCAGATATACTGGCCATTCCCTGTTACCTCCAGGAAAGGCTACTTAGAGCAAGATTAGTGAGAAGCTGTCCTCCTGTTATTTCTGCTATTATCGTTTTCGAGTATCCTGTGACCCAAAACCCCCCCCTCCTGGTAAAGTTCTTCAGCAATAAATAGTAAAAAATAGACATCCCCTAGACGGAGCTATTATTGTTGGTGTGTGTGAGACTGTGGTTGTGACTGGCAGCCTCTGTACCATTCTGGAAGACCTGGGTATCTCCTCAGCTGGCCCCTACAAGTGTAGAAGAATACTGTTGTAGTAATGTCCAGTGGTCCAGTTATGTTGGGATTCTAGTGATTTAGAATGTGTTGATGATATGTCTAGAAGTGTAATACAATCACTGCTAATAGTTTGCTTGTGTTTGAATTAGGTGTTTTATGTAGTATGAAATACTTTAGAGCTGCCTTTTTTTATTATTATTATTATTATTATTATTATTATACAGGATTTATATAGCACCAACAGTTTGCTCAGCACTTTAAAATATAACAGGAGACAATACAGCAACAATACAGTTCAATACAAGAGGGTTAGGAGGGCCCTGATCCTTGGAGCTTACAATCTAAGAGGGAGGGGCTATAGTACAAAAGGTAGTAACTGTGGAGGATGGACTGGTAGGAGGAGTAGAAGATTCCATTATTAGCTGAGGGCAAGATAGACTTCCCTGGGGAGATAGGTTTTCAGAGTTTGTCTAAAAGTGAGCAGAGTAGGTGATAGTCTGATGAATTGGGGTAGAGAGATCCAGAGGATGGGGGGAGCTCTGGAGAAGTCCTGGAATCGAGCATGGGAGGAGGAGACGAGGGAGCTAGAGAGCGGGAGGTCGTGCGAGGAGCAGAGCGTACGGTTTGGGTGATATTTGGAGACAAGATCGGTGATGTAATTTGGGGAAGAGCTATAAATGGCTTTATATGTTATTGTTAATGTTTTGAATTTTATCCTTTGGGCAATGGGAAGCCAGTGGAGGGATTGGCAGAGAGGGGTGGCAGATACGGAAGTTAGTAAGGTGGATGATTCTGGCAGCAGCATTCATGATAGACTGAAGAGGGGATAGCCTGCGATGAGGTAGGCCAATGAGGAGGGAGTTACAGTAGTCGAGCCGTGAAATAATAAGGGAGTGAATGAGTTGCTTAGTAGTTTCCGGGGTTAGGAACGGACGTATCTTGGAGATGCTCCGGAGCTGAAGTCTACATGAGTTTGTCAGCGAATGGACCTGGGGATGGAAGGACAGATTGGAGTAGTCTGTACTCAGTACTCTGGCTTGAGGGGTGGGACTGATGGTGGTGTTGTTGGTCTTGATGGAGAAGTCGGGGGGGGGGGGTGCGGGCTGGGGGGGGAAAACTAGATGAGGTAGGCCAATGAGGAGGGAGTTACAATAGTCAATCTATTTACCCCTCAGGGTTTACATCTTAGGGAACCCCTGCTAAAACCAAATCATTGGAAATAATGGGAAAATGCGCATTAAATTAGTGGTCAGTGGAAAGCATGCCCTTACATTCTGACAATTAGTGTTGGTCCTGGAACCACACAGGCACTATCAATGGGAGGACAATCGGCTACTGCTCCAGGACCTCCTACCAACCTCTGGGGTAACCCTAAGGTTCCACGGCACCCTGGCTGAGAATGGCTGCTTTAGAGTGTAATTGTATCATAGTCAGCGGCCCACAATGCTGTAATATTACATGTGTGTATTGAATTACATAGAATTATAATATGACTATGGACTGTGAACAGGTCGTTTGGTGGTCCAGTATTATGCCAGCACTAAACTAGAATTGTATTGCAATGACCAGACAGTGGTGGGTAATGCTGGCATTGTTAACTGGTAAGTCATTCCTGGATGCTCTGAATACACTGTAAATATGTTTAGAATTATTGTGTTTGTGAGCTTTCTATAAAAGCAGTACCAGATGCCTAATCTATATGTATTTGCTGCAGGTTATGCTGGAAGAGACTGCGTCTCACACATGGCTGCCCAGGAGACGGAGATTAAGAGCAGTGCCTCCATTATTCCTTGTTTCCTCTTTGTAGAGGTATTGCCTTATTCTGTATTCTACAATGTAACTACCATAAGAGCATTACTGCCTTATCTGTGTTCATTTTCTGCCCTCTCTTCATCTTTACTCTCGGCTCTCTGCTCTCCCCTCCCCTGCCATAGAGCTCGGACCATGCTGGTGGTGATGTAACTTATTGCCCATCAGAGTGTGAACAGTAGAGCCCAGTGAACATGGCTTGTCATGCCAGTTTGTGTGAATGTACTGTGGCACTGGATGGGTGTGATGGTTGCTTGTTGCAAGAAAAGAAATAATGTGAGAAAGAAGCAGTCATTTATGAAAAAAGGTATAAAACATTACCAACACAAGAGCAATATTTGCATCAATCTTGTGTCTAAATCTTATTTTGATTAATCCCACAAATTGGAAAATTCTACTTGGCAATGGCAATATTTTAGGATCATTATGTTTGCAGATAAATGTATCTCTGTAGAATTCAGAACATTTCTAATGAGGGATTATTCTTGAATTATTCTTGAATTAAAAATGATTGAAAACGAGATGCTGTAACAAACTAGCGCCTATACATTCTGACGTAGTTGAAAGATTTTGTTGCCCATACCAACCATTTAGCTTCCTTAAAGTAGTATTAAACCCTCATAGATTTTAAGTTTAATACACTGAACACATTAATATAGGCATTCCCAAGTACATTTTTAAAACTCTTACAACTTTGAGTCTACAACTTGCTTTGCTGCTGGTTCCTGCTCTCTCAGTGCTGTTTCCCTGAACATCCAGTTTCCATAGGAAAGCGTTACCAGTGGACAGGGCAGTGCTGAGTCAGTCTGTTAGCATGGAGAAGGTAGGAGAAGGAGTACAGGGATTCCTTACCATCCTGGGCTACAGGTGTTTCTATCGATGTACACAGTATAGGGAGATACAACTCTAATCCCTGCATGCAAAGATGGCTTCATAGGACGCTGAAAAAGAAAGAAGCCCCCCTGAAACAGCGAACATGGGGCAGCAGTCATGGCACCAGCCTAAACTGGAATATAGGAAAGGATTAAAGATAAAGAAGCTGCATACTCAGTAAGTGATTAAAGCGGAACTCCAGTCACAAAAAAAAAATAAAAGTCAGCAGCTACAAAAACTGTAGCAGCTGACTTTTAAAAAGCAGACCCTCACCTGTCCCTTGGTCACGGACTGTCCTCACCGCAGCCGGTTTCACCGGCTGTCTGCATTCTTTCCGTTTTTTCAAGTATCCTTGGCTCCGTTGAGGGACTTCACAGGTCCTCTGGGTTCTAAATGCTGCATAGAGCTCTCTACCACTTTCCTTTGTGAGTCCAGAGTAGGCCCTTGACACTGTAGACAGGGAGAGGGTTCAATGATGGTGGGCATTACTCTACCCAGAATAGAACAGCGCTGGTGACTGGATTAATCTGTGAGGGAGTAGTGTCAGAGATAGAGTGAGTATTGCAGACTGAGATACTTTTTTATTAACCACTTCCAGTCCGGACACTTTCACCCCCTTCCTGTCCAGGCCAATTTTCAGCTTTCAGTGCTATCACACTTTGAATGACAATTGCGCGGTCATGCAACACTATACCCATATGAATTTTTTAACATTTTTTTTTAGACAGATAAAGCTTTATTTTGGTGGTATTTATTCACCACTGGGATTTTTATTTTTTTTGCTATGTAAATGAAAAATTCAAAATATTTTGAAAAAAAGTGTTTTTTTTATAAAATTTTGCAAATAAATAATATTTCATCATAAATCTTGGCCAAAATTTATTCTGTTATCTTTTTAGTAAAAAACAAATAACCCAAATTAGTTTATAACCAAAAATTATAATTAAAAAAAAAGTTTTACATTTTTATTTTATTTTTTTTTTATATTATTATTTATGTTGTTTTTTTTTACATACTGTCACCCTAGCAGTACAGTGTCACCATGGTGACACTGTACTACTTGTGGGGGGTGATGAAGATTTTTTTTTTTTTTTTTACACTCCTCGCTCTTACACCCATGAAGGCTGTAAAAGCAATCATTTCTCCTTCTCCCTGGCTGCATTCTTGCAGCCATTGAGAAATACTATGTGAGCTGTAATTGGTCACAGCTTGTCACATGGTACAAGGCTGTTGTGAATTGCCTTGTACCATGTGACCTCTGTGATCATTCACAGATTTCACACGTAGTAAGCAATGATGTCAGAAGTGACATCTTGCTTACTATTCTACTTGTGATTACTGATTGGCCAATCAGTGATCACATGATTGGGACCTCGCAGAGAGGTCCCGTCCGACGATTGGTGTTCCATTGTGTCCGGAGGACACAGCGGGCACAGGATTGCGGTGCTTCGCGCTCCCGGGGAGCATGCACAAGCAGGGGGGAGGGGGGGCCGTTTATAAACGGCCACCCGACCCTGCACTGCCACCATCAGGCCGTTTATATACAACGGCCGGACAGGAGGTGGTTAAAAAAAAATAATCTGAGGACAGATATAGTTATTTTTTGCCCAAGCTAGACTTGGGCTGTAAAACGTCGACTGTGAAAATTAGTTGGGAGCTGATTGTTATACACAATAATACATTTTACCTTTAGCATTTTTCATACATCAGGCCTTAAAATGGAACTACACTGCACCTGAGCACCATGAACCAAAAACAGTGTTTAAATGATTGTTAATATTCAAAGCAAACCTCTCCATCCATCCGTGTCTTCTTGCTTTATTTTACAGAGAAATCACTTTGAAAAACACCTCCTAGCATTTCTGGCAGTGGCCATCTTGAGTAAGCATTTACTTCCTGGAATCCATCTGCCCTTATCTCATGCATGCAGGCAGGTGGGTGTGCTTAGCTAAGAAAACCCCTCCTCCTCTCTTGAAGGCACTTGGGATGTATGATGTAATTTGCCTAGGCATGAAAACCAGGAAATAGCTGAAGAAATGTAAACAATACGTTTAAAACAAGTAAATATGATATAATTTCCTATCTATTTACTTGCAGCATAAGAATTAAGAATAGTCAGTGTTCATTGAGAGAGTGAAGTGCCGCTTTAGGTCTGAGTTATGCTATCCAGGTAAATATTACAAGCTACTAGAAGGACAGTTCTAAGGTACTAGTAGAGCTTATTTGATGAAGACCTTTTGATGAAGAGTGAGACACAATCAGGATGGAGAGTGTGATGCAATGTGGGTGGAGATTGGGACCCAATATGAGTGGAGAGTGGATCCTGAAGTAGAGAGAGAGTGGGACCCCATGTAGTTGGATAGTGGGACATGATATGGGTGGAAAGTGGAACACAATGTGGATGAAGAGCAGGTCCTGATGTGGATGGAAAGAGTGACATGATCTGTATTGAGAATGGGACATGATGTGGATGCAGAGTGGAACATGATGTAGATGGAACTATATAAAGTGAGATTGAGTTGAGTGATCAAATTGCTGCCAACATCCCACATAAAGTTCATCTAAAAGACAAGGTGTCAATTTTTATTATTGAAATAAGACAGAAAAATTAAGGACCTCATTGTCTTTTGAGTAAAATAGCTTTGTTATTTTTTGAGTGGTAACATACACATGTAGTACAATATCATACAATGATATATATATACCCTATCATACAGAACTTCATCCAATCACTGCCTGCGATAAATGCTGAGATCAGCTTGGATAGATGCTTCAGATAAATCCCAACATGTTTCAGAAAATAATTTCCTTCTTCAGGGTACAAAGCATGGGTAAATGTATCTCTACAAGATACCTTTCCGTATTTGTGGAATAAATTTCTTTTCCTCCAGACGTAAAGAGTGCCCCCTTGTCCTCTGTGATGACCTCAGGGTGAATAGCTCTACACCGAGTTCCCTATATGAACCACTGACTGTATGTATTTATTATACATGTAGATCATATCCCCCCTTATGTATTATACATGGAGATCATATCCCCCCTTATGTATTATACATGGAGATCATATCCCCCCTTATGTATTATACATGGAGATCATATCCCCCCTTATGTATTTATACATGTAGATCATATCCCCCCTTATGTATTATACATGGAGATCATATCCCCCCCTTATGTATTATACATGGAGATCATATCCCCCCTTATGTATTATACATGGTGATCATATCCCCCCTTATGTATTATACATGGAGATCATATCCCCCCTTATGTATTATACATGGAGATCATATCCCCCCTTATGTATTATACATGGAGATCATATCCCCCCTTATGTATTATACATGGAGATCATATCCCCCCTTATGTATTATACATGGAGATCATATCCCCCCTTATGTATTATACATGGTGATCATATCCCCCCTTATGTATTATACATGGAGATCATATCCCCCCTTATGTATTATACATGGAGATCATATCCCCCCTTATGTATTATACATGGAGATCATATCCCCCTTATGTATTATACATGGAGATCATATCCCCCCTTATGTATTATACATGGAGATCATATCCCCCCTTATGTATTATACATGGAGATCATATCCCCCCCTTATGTATTATACATGGAGATCATATCCCCCCTTATGTATTATACATGGCGATCATATCCCCCCTTATGTATTATACATGGAGATCATATCCCCCCTTATGTATTATACATGGAGATCATATCCCCCCTTATGTATTATACATGGTGATCATATCCCCCCTTATGTATTATACATGGAGATCATATCCCCCCCCCCTTATGTATTATACATGGAGATCATATCCCCCCTTATGTATTATAAATGGAGATCATATCCCCACTTATGTATTATACATGGAGATCATATCCCCCCTTATGTATTATACATGGAGATCATATCCCCCCCCCCCCTTATGTATTATACATGGAGATCATATCCCCCCTTATGTATTATAAATGGAGATCATATCCCCCCTTATGTATTATACATGGAGATAATATCCCCCCTTATGTATTATACATGTTGATCATATCCCCCCTTATGTATTATACATGGAGATCATATCCCCCCTTATGTATTATACATGGTGATCATATCCCCCCCTTATGTATTATACATGGAGATCATATCCCCCCTTATGTATTATACATGGTGATCATATCCCCCCTTATGTATTATACATGGAGATCATATCCCCCCTTATGTATTATACATGGTGATCATATCCCCCCCTTATGTATTATACATAGAGATCATATCCCCCCTTAGTATTATACATGGAGATCATATCCCCCCTTATGTATTATACATGGAGATCATATCTCCCCCCTTATGTATTATACATGGAGATCATATCCCCCCTTATGTATTATAAATGGAGATCATATCCCCCCTTAAGTATTATACATGGAGATCATATCCCCCTTATGTATTATACATGGAGATCATATCCCCCCTTATGTATTATACATGGAGATCATATCCCCCCTTATGTATTCTACATGGAGATCATATCCCCCCTTATGTATTATACATGGAGATCATATCCCCCCTTATGTATTATACATGGTGATCATATCCCCCCTTATGTATTATAATAAATTCAGTTCCTCTAATCTTTCCTCATAGCTGAGCTCCTCCATGCCTCTTATCAGTTTAGTTGCCCTTCTCTGTACTTTCTCCAGTTCCCCAATGTTCTTTTTTGTGAATTGATGCCCAAAACTGAACTGCATATTCCAGATGAGGTGTTACTAATGATTTGTACCGGGGTAATATGATATCTCTCTCTCTCTGGAGTCTATACCTCTTTAATACAAGAGAGGATTTTGCTCGCTTTAGAACCCGCAGCTTGGCATTGCATGCCATTATTAAGCTTGTGATCTACCAGAACTTCTTCTCCACCATTGATCCCCCCAGTTGTACCCCCCCTAGTATGTATGATGCATGCATATTCTTAGCCCCCAAGTGCAGAACCTTACATTTATCAACATTAAACCTCATTTGCCACATAGGTGCCCAATTACACAGAGCATTGAGGTCAGCTTGTAAATTGGAGACATCCTGTAAGGAAGTTATTCCACTGCACAGCTTGGTGTCATCTTCAAAGACTGAAATGGGATTTTAATCCCAGAACCTATATAGTTTATAAGTATATTAAAAAGTAAGGGTCCCAACCAGGGGCGGACTGACAACTCATGGGGCCCCAGGGCAATAGGGGATCATGGGGCCCCTGTGTACTTGCCCACGCTCAAAGCACACCCAAAAAAGCCTATAAAAAGTTCCAGGGGCAGTTCATGGGGTCCTCTACTGACCCCGGGCTCTCGGGCAGTGCCCGAGTGCTCAAATGGTCAGTCCGCCCCTGGTCCCAACACTGAACCCTGGGGTACACCACTGACAACCCTATGAGTATGAATCATTAACCACTACTCTCTGAATATTATCTTTTAGCCAATTTTTGGGGGTTTGTCCTGCTATCTTTTGCAATTTTTCATTGCTTTTCAGTTTATCTTGTTTTTGCATATTCTGTTACATTCTTTGTAATGTTTAAAAAAGGCTCTTTTCTTATTATACATAGCTTTTTTAACTTTGGCCGTTCACATGCAGTCTTTTTGAAGACCTCCCATTTCTGTGTTGTGTTCATCAATGCCATTATTCCCTCCCAGTCTAAGTCTTGGAGAGCAGTTCTCAGCCTTGGAAAAATTAGCTCTCTTAAAGTTGAGCATTTTTATTTTTCCTGTATGTGCTTGCTGGTTACAGATAACAATAAGTGAAATCATGTTATGGTCACTGCTACCCAGATGTTCTTTTATATGGACATCCATAATAAGCTCTGCATGGTCTGAGATTACCAGGTTCAGCGGAGCATCATTCCTAGTTGGGGCCTTTATGAACTGCACCATAAAATTGTCCTGTAGTAGGTTTATACAATTTTGCGCTTTAACTGTTCCTGCAGTACCATTACTCCAGTCAATGTCTGGAATGTGTTTCATGATGAGGGCAGAGGGTGTTACATAATGTGGATGGAGAATGGAACTTGATACAGGTGGACAGTGTGACATGATATGGGCAGAAAATGTTGTATGATTTGAGTAGAAGGTGTTACATGGTGTGGGAAGAGAGTGTTACATGATGTAATGATGATGGAAAGTGAGTCATGATGCAGATGAAGAGTGGGGCATGATGTGCAGGAAGAGTAGGACATACTGTGAATGGAGAGGGTGGCATGATGTGAATGTACTTTGTGACATGATGTAGATGGAGAGTGGGGCATGCTGTGGATGGAAAAGGTGACATGATGTGGACAGTAAGTGTGACATGATGTAGAGTTGGGCTTCATTAGAGGGGAAAGTGGGACATGATGCAGATGGAGAGTGGGGCATGCTGTGGATGGAGAGGGTGACATGATGTGGATGGAGAGTGGGACACAATGTGGATGGAGAGTGGGACACAATGCAGATGAAGTGTGGGACATGATTTGGATGGAGAGGGTGACATGATGTGGATGGAGAGTGGGACACAATGAGGATGAAGTGTGGGACATGATTTTGATGGAGAGGGTGACATGATGTGGATGGAGAGAGGGACATAATGTGGATGGAGAGTGAGACACAATGTGAATGGAGAGTGAGACACAATACGGATGAAGTGTGGGACATGATTTGGATGGAGAGTGAGACACAATGCGGATGAAGTGTGGGACATGATTTGGATGGAGAGGGTGGCATGATGTGGATGGAGAGAGGGACATAATGTGGATGGAGAATGAGACACAATGTGGATGGAGAGTGAGACACAATGTGGATGGAGAGTGAGACACAATGTGGATGGAGAGGGAGACACAATGTGGATTGAGAGTGAGACACAATGCGGATGGAGAGTGAGACACAATGTGGATGGAGAGTGAGACATAATGGGGATGAAGTGTGGGACATGATTTGGATGGAGAGGGTGACATGATGTGGATGGAGAGTGGAACACAATGTGTATGGATAGTGGAACATGATGTGGATGAAGAATGGGACATGATGTGGATGGAGAGGGTGACATGATGTGGGTGGAGAGTATGAAATGATGTGTGGATAGAGGGAGTGGGAGATGACGTGCTGACTACTCCAAGATTCCATAGTCTCTCTCCAGCTTCCTCAGCCCTCTGACAGTTTGTTTCTGATTCTACCCTTTTTTATGTTATTTATCATTTTAAACTAACATCCGTCTTTTAATTCACTTTATTTCCACTTCATCCCCCAGTTCAGTTGTGTGATCCTCTTCTCCGGGCTCTCACTCGTTAACCCTACCTTTGCAGTCTACTACCTCCCTGGTCTCCCATGTAATGTTCTTGTTTCCCTCATGCCCTGTGCGTTACTTTATCACCTCTTTCCATACCTTGTCATTCTTTGTCACATCTGCAGCCTCTGTCTTCCACCTTGCAAGTTACTCTGTCCATAGGATTTCCTTAATTTTATAATGAGTTTGGATCTTTCTCATCTTCTTTCTTACATCTCTTTTTTCCATTTTTTCAGACAGTGCTAGAATAGAGTGAAATAAGCTCTATTTAAGTTTTTATAAATCTTCCCTTTGTATCTGCTTGGCTTGGCTCTTCCTGCCTTGCCTCTCTTGCTGCATTTTGCGAATATCAGTGTATTTAATTCTGTTTTTCTTTTTCTGTCTTCAACCCTTCTGCATGTCTGATTTTGGTCCTTGATTTGTTTCTTGATGTAATCTTGTCATTTTATGTCTTGCTCACTGTTTCACTGACTCTTCTCTCTGTTCTTTTTTCTTTGGTTGTCCTTTCGAAGGTCTCTTTAGATCTGAATGGTCACTTTTTCGTCTTGTTGACTGTTCTCTGTCTTTTTCTTCTGTCCTATTTGCCTTCCTTTGTGTTGCCTCTGTACCTCTTTCTGACTCTTCTCTTTCTTTCTCTGACCTTTCTGTATCCATGTTCCTCTGTTCCATTAGTCTGTATTTGTGCTTCTCCTAACCCTTCTCTATCCATTAGACTGTATTTTTGCATATCGGTTCCCTAACTCTTCTGTCTCATTCTCTGTCCCTTCTGTATCCATATTCCTCTGTCCATCTGTCTCCTAACTCTTTTGTCTTTTTCTCTGACCCTTCTGAATCCATGTTCCTTTGTCTGTCTGTCTCCTAATTCTTCTGTCTCCTTCTCTGACCCTTTCGTATCCTTTAGTCTGTATTTATGCTTATCTATCTTACTCTTCTGTCTCTTTATATGGTTTCAATTGTGTCTTCTGTGTGCTGTGATCTTTGTTTGCCTCATCTGTCTCTTACATTTATGTTGTTTGCCCCGCCTGTCCTCTTTTTGTCTCTGTATCTGTTTTTTCTTTAATTCTTTTCCAAGTTTACTCTTCACTTTTGTTGTCCACTTTTCATACCCTGCCTTCCAATCCTTTTAATTTTTCATTCCCCTGTGCTGCTTTTTTTATTCTTGGATCTACCTACTTTGTAACTCCGCATTGTTCCTCCTCTGGTAATTGCCTCTGTTATCAGTTTGAGAAGATGCTCTATTTTCAGCTTGTCCTGATGGCCGGAACTGTTATCCTCTCGTACCACTTTGAATACACGGACACCTTTCCTGTACACTCCCAGGGTTTCTTCTGCTACGACAGCACCTTGTCCAAGCCATACCCGGGTCCTGAGAGCACCAGCCGGCCCCCGCCACGTCTGCTGTACCCTCTGATCACCGTACTGCCTGTCCTGACGGTAAATATAACACCAGCTTTGCAGTGAGTCTGAGGACTGTATATTCTCCATGGCTGAGTACTGTGTGCGAGACATACACTCACTGATGTGATCCATCATGACAGTTTGACAGTGGGAGCTGCCCCCTCCTTACACACAGGACTGGGCAGTAATACTCCACCACCATGCTTGTCTATGCCTAGGGCATCCACAGTTCATTTCACCTATTCTTTGATGTCTGTGTGTATTAGTTGATGTCATTTCTTTTATCCAGGTGTCTTTTGTAAGTTTCCCTTCTGTTATTGTGGCATCCTTCAATGGTTCTACACTAGGCAGCAACTGCTTTGAATTAGCATATGTGTCAGTAGCAGCTGCTGTTAAAAAAGAAATGGTCTTTATAAAGTAGATATAACCCAAATTCTCAAAATATGCACAAAAAGAGAAATGTAGAGGACAAAGGTCTAGTTTTCATTAATGCCTGTTGTCTCCTTGCAGCTGATCTTTCCCCGTTACCCTTACCATGCCTTGTTTTGCAATATCTCTCTGTGTGGAGGTGGCCATCTTGGTGGAAGCAAGGCTTTGCTTCCTCATGTCAGAGCCTCCGGCAAGGAGAACAGGGGGAAGCACAGGAGTGACATCAACAAATCTCACACCAAATCTCCTTAGACTAACAGAAGCAGCAGTGCCTTAGATCTCACACTGCAGATATACAGCTATGAGACTGTAAGCACAGGACTGCCTAGGCACACTCACCTCTTTCTGACTCTTCTCTTTCTTTCTCTGACCTTTCTGTATCCATGTTCCTCTGTTCCATTAGTCTGTATTTGTGCTTCTCCTAACCCTTCTCTATCCATTAGACTGTATTTTTGCATATTGGTTTCCTAACTCACCAGAAAGCGTACTTCTATTTTTTCTGGATAAAAAGTACATTTTTCAAGGTACTACTTAGGCACAATTAACCTAATCCAAAGCAAGTCTTCACTATTTTGAGTTTGTTTTCACGCTAAAATGTACAGTATATGTGGTTTGAAACCTTGTTAAAACTAAAATCTAAAGCTCTCATTGTGCCATGTTCCGGCACTTCTTTTTCTGGGGTAACAACTTACTCACAATGATGTTCCTGAATTGTCACCCTGTCACATACTATCAGCTGTAAGGGCTGGAGGAGATCAGCAGCACTGACAAGCAAAGTAAAGGAGAAAGCTTCACTTTGTAAAAAGTAAAAACATGTTTATAATACTTTATGCTTTGGCAAACTTAAAGTATAACTAAAGGCAAAACCTTGTTTTTTGTTTTAGATTGATTGGAGAAGGGTTAGAAGGCCTGTCAGATTTATAATGCTGTTTGTGCCCCTTATAGAGAGACCCACTCTCTCTTTCTGTCCTGTTTACCTAAGAATGAAAGTGAAAGCAAAACCCAAATTTGTGGTTATCACCAGAACATCTTCCAATGGGGACACTAGTTCTGGTGACAGCCAAGGTTTCCCTCACGTTGGTGGGATTTCCTCTATCTTTCTGTTTTGGTTATAGGACAGGAAATGAAAGGAAATCTCCCCAGTGGGACACAGATGGCAAAAAATGTAACAGGGTTATAACTACCTTACTCAATACAAAATGAAGAAAAGTTTTGCCTTTGTTCTACTGTAATATAATGTACCTAATAACAACTTAAAGTCCATAAACCATAGACATCAGGATCACATTACAGTTTTTCTCTTGAAAAGCTCATCGTGTTTCAGCTGTCAGTTTGTAAAACATTTTGGTGCAACCTACGAACAGGTAATGTACACTAGTGATGATCATCTAACGCAGCGGTTCTCAACCTGTGGGTCGCGACCCCTTTGGGGGTCGATCAACCCTTTCACAGGGGGCGCCTAAGACCATCGGAAAACACATATTTCCGATGGTCTTAGGAACCGAGACACCGCTCCTCTATCCGTCTCCAGGCGGGTCCGCCCACATGCAGATAGACTCTATGAGGTAGTGGTGAGGGCGGCCGGAGGGGCTCGGCAGGGTGTCCCGCACTCCCGGCTTTCTGCAAGCCTCTCACGCTGAACTAACACCAGCACACTGACTGGCCCGCTCCCTCTTCCCTGTGCGTTATGAGCGGCCGGCCAGGCTGGAGGCTCCTCCCCTGCAAGGGGCAGGTCGGAGGTGCCCCACTGCCACCCATTGGCTGCCCTTGCACCTGCTGCATGTTTCCCCGGGCGGGCAGCTGCTCACAACAGCTGGATAGATGTTAGCCGGGCCCCCCTTTGTCTCCGGGGAAGGGGGGATCTGGTTACCCGCAGAGCGTGTGCCCTACAGCCGCTCACGTCCCACGGAGGCTTCTCCTCACAGCACTTGTACGAGGGCTGGCACCGGGGCACACGGCCCGCTAGAAGGAAGTACACAGCGACCAGCAATCCCAAACTTTCCGGGGTCATAAAAGGAGCCTCAGGACAGATGACTTGGTGTGGGAGAGGGCTGATATCCCTGGGGGGGAGGGGGGGAATACTGGCCATACACGCTTCAATTTTACTATCAGATCCAATTGGCAATCAGATTAACTTCCGTTCCCATCAAATTCCTTAAGTCGATTGACCAGGGCGCAAAATGATCGACCAGTTTGCATCGATTGGCCGCACTGAGATGCTTTTTCCATCAATTGTACCATATTTCCATCAATTTATGAGAATGTATGGTGAGAACAGAGATGTGGTCGATAATCTCAGATTGTATCTTCCAAATATTGATCGAAATCCACTTCTCCGTCCGTGGCTGATCAGTTGATCGTGTTATTTGTAGTGGTGCACCGAAATGAAAATTCTGGTGCCAAAAAAAAAAAACGCTTTCTGATAATCAGATCGTTAGTATTCCGCTGTCGAGGGCTGGTCATGACAGTTCATGCGAAAATATCCAAAGGGACAGGCACAAAAATGTTCTTGTACAGTTACAGAAGGAACTATTGAAAATACATCCTGCATATCAGATATTTACATTATGATTCATAATAGTAGCAAAATTATAGTTATGAAGTAGTAACGAAAATAATTTTATGGTTGGGGGTCACCACAACATGAGGAACTGTATGAAAGGGTCGCGGCATTAGGAAGGTTGAGAACCACTGATCTAGTGGCTGATGTGCACTTCTAGATCAATGTTATCTCACTAGAGCTTGTGCACATGAAACCTCCTGAAACCTGCAAGGGGGGACCCAAGGCTTCAACTGCCTAGGGGCCTCCATAAAGTCAGGGCCTGGACTGAGCGAAGCTAAAGGGAGGGCCAGCATGACTGGGGCTTGCAGACGAGGCTGAGATGGGATCCGGATGAGGAGTATAGGAGATGGGGGATGGTTACTTACCGGATTGGAGCAATCGGGCTGGAGGGTGGTCTTGCTAGGATGAGGAGTGGGGTTGTGATTTGTCGGGGGTAAGTCGGAGCTTGTGGCAGCACAGGTGAGGTTTAATCCAGCACTGCCTGCAGCCCCTGGGACTTGATGGCAGCCCTTGGACAATAGCAGCAGGTATTAGGAGCAATTATTTGTGATCTCTATCAGAGATCACATGTACTATGTCCTGGATGGCTTGATGAATGACATTCAAAAGTACTTTAAAAACATTTGCTTTTGCCATTTGATTTTGGACTGAATGAACTGTCTCGAATGAAAACCACATTCACTGCTAGATATTCTGTTTGAGAAAAATGTTCCTTCCTTTCGCCACTGCATTTGAAAAAGAACGTTAGTTTGACCCAACTAATGATTACAAATTGGATAGACTGTTCTTGAAACAAAAATTTTCAAACAAAATTGCATGCCCAACTTGTCTCTGAATGTTTCTCTGAAGTGTTGTATATCTCCAGTCTTTAACCACGATGTTTGCATGTCTACAGTCTTTGACCATCTCCCGTACTGAAGTAAGTCTGCTTTCTTTTGCAGACTTCTATAGCATTACATATATGGAATATTATGTGGTGATGTCAGGGACCTAAGTTGTACCACATAAGTTGACCACCACTGCAGTAGATGCAAGACAGAACAGCTACTGCAATGGGTTTTTTTTTTTTTTTTTGGGGGTTTTTTGTTGCCTAAATACCTAATTGTAGATATAAAATATCAGGCACACAGGGAGGGCATAGTTTTCAATATGTTAGCTTTTCCTTGTGTAAAGAACAACCATTGTGCAGCACTGCAAAGCAGCTTGCAGAACCTAGTGAACAAATATGACTTTTCCTACATTTATATGTATGACCGCAGCGGACCAATCAGGACTGTCACACGGGGAGTCCAAAGCCCTGTGTAAACTAGTGACTTGTAGCTTACACAAGGCTTGCCTTTTCCTCCCAGTGGCTGAACAGAGCAGTGGGGAAGCATCAAACATGAGGAATATATTTCTCTTGGCAAACTAGGAGTGTGCATGGATATAGGGGGACTATTCACTCTGCTTGAATCAGACAAAGTAGAGTGTCCTTATTGTATCGCAGCAAGGTCTGTCCTCCAAAACCAGGTAAACCCCCAATCAAATGTCTCCCTTTACTGTGTAAGTGACAGGTACTGTTGATGGAGCAGAATACCCTTGTTTTGTCCACAGATCTTGCTGGGAGAGGTATCTGCTGTCTTCATCAACCCACGATGGAGGACCAAGGAAAAGATCATCTCGTGTGGTGACTGCTGCTTTTTCAACCCTCTGCTGCGTCGTGTAGTCAGGATTCTGGGTGAGCGAGGAGTGAATTCTGCTGGAGATACAGTATTTGTGTGTTTTGTCTCTGGTTTGTTGGGCTGACTGGGGCTTTCTTGCAGGTTGAAGTATGCACATAGATGGTTTTATACATAAACATTGGCACAAAAACCAAAAATAAGTCTGAACATAGTGTACAAGCAATACAAGCGACCAGTGTCTGTGTAAATTAGACCAAGTGGAGGTGCAGTATGACATTATTATCTCACAAAGACATTTTACAGGGTAGAACATCCTTTTCAATCTTTTTGACACAGAAGAACCATTTAAAGGACCTTCAGGTCTCAGGGAAACCACTCAGGGCTGTGGGTAAAGGGGTACCACCAGTTCTCCTGTATGAGGCCCAGGCCAGCAGGGGGCCCAGGCAGCTGGGTGAATTGTATGTGGGCAGGCAGGGTGATTGGCACAGTGGGGTGTGTGTAGGGGGGGGGCAATTGCTGGAACTGTTCCCCTGTATGGCTCCCTCTGCAACAGCTAAAAAACTGTCTTCTTTTCCTCTCCCTCCCACTGGTTTTCAACTGCTGCAGAGAGAGCCAAATAGGGGATCGATACCAGTAATTTCCCTTCCACTGCACCCATCACCCTCCCTGTGCACCATACATTTCCCCCTGCTGCCTAGGCCCCCCGTGTGTCCTCACCCCTCAGTGCTGCCAGCTTCCCTCCTCTCCTTAACACCAGCAGCTACAATCACACAATAGAATCCCTCAGGATGGAGAGTGGGGGAAGGGTCCAGTAAAGATGTCACATTTACCAGCCTCTTCCTTTTCTAAATGATCACAATGAGTGATTGGTACCAATCTCTCACTGTGTTGATTCATAACTTAAGCATAGTAAACTTTGTTTTTTTTGGGGGACCTGTCAGGTTGGCTGTATGGAGCCCCATGGTTTCTAACAGTAGTCCTGAACCCTCTAATAATCATTATATTATAAATATATACTGTATATCTACAGCTCACAAGACATTAGCTTGAACAGTAAATTGTGGACATAAAATAAATAAAAGAATACAGAATGTGGCATTCTTCATGCACGTGAGCGCCCGGGGCTGCTCTATACAACACTCCTATTTTCAGTAATAATAATTAAATGAAACATGAAACAATGAAAAAAAAAGACAGACAGTGAAAATTGTAGTGCTGTTTCAAATTGGTGTTCAGTTGAAAAGTGGCCTCTTACATTGGTGGTCTGTGGGAACAATGCTCCTTACATTGGTAGTCAGTAGAAAGAATGCCCCTTACATTGATGGTTTGTAGGAAGAATGTCCCTTAAATCGGTAGTCAGTGGGAAGAAATGCTTCTTCCATTAGTGATCAGTGGGAAGAATGCTCATTGCAATGGCAATCAGTCGGAAAAATGCTCCTTACATTGGTGGTCTGTGGAAAGATTGTGTCTTACATTGGTGGGCAGAAGGAAGAATACTCCATACATTGGTGGTCAGAATTCCCCTTATATGGGTAGTGAGTTGGAAGAGTACCCCCTGCGTTGCTAGTCAGAAAGAAGATGTCTTCATACATGGGTGGTCAGTGGGAAGAATTCCCTTTACATTGCTGATCAGATTGAAAGTTTCTCCATACACTGGTGGTCATTGGGAAGAATGTTTATTGCATTGGTGGTTAGCGTGAAGAATATCCCTTAAATTAGTGGTCAGTGGGAGAAGGAGGAGGACACACTGAAGGAACTCTCTCTGAGAACCAGCATTTTCAATCCTGGGCTTTGCCTGCTAGCTTGGCCCAGGAACCATGTCTGATCCAGGGGTTGGCCCTGGGAGGGATCCCCCTGATGACACAGGGCCTAGTGAGGAGGAGGAGGTGGAGGACCTGACTGTGGGTCCAGGCCCTGGTGAGGATGTGGATGTGTACAGACAGAGGATTATTGATCGTTTTATGGCGATTGGAAGAGCTGAGGAAAAACCTAACGTTTTGAAGGCTGAGCATAAATCCTTCAGAGCCAAATACTGCCAGAAATGCCATGAAGCAAGAGCTATAGCAGATGGAGGAAAAGGTGAAGAAAAAATCTTTATTGTTGGAAAAGGTGAAAACCAGAAGTGGAGCTTTTGCAGAGAAGTTTAATATTGAAAAGAGATTTGCCAGCCAGACATCAGCAAGTCCTGTGGATCAGCAGCCTCGGGTAATGGATCCAGCAGATGGAGTCACCCCTGAGAGCAGACAGGTTTGTCAGCAGTCCCTGAGGATGGACAGAGGAGGTACAGTTTAAGAAACAACTACCCCAATCATCTTGATGGCTGTTCCCCGCTCCGTTAAAGGTGGCGACCATAAATATCACCAGCATTAAATCTGCAAGAGCTCGTGATACGGCCTTATGTTTGTTCAGTGAGTTTGATGCTGAGATTTTATTTTTGCAAGAGACCTGGCTCAATACATTGGCTGATGTGTATCTAGCAAAAAGGGAGTGGAGATGTGGTCCCTCCTTTTGGTCTCTTTTGGCTGAGCCTTGCAGCGGAGTTGCGGTGCTTTTTAAAACCAATATGGTAATGTGCCGGCGGGTAATTGAGGTAGAAATGGGGAGATGCATGGTCTTAGACAGCTCTGTTAGGGGGCAGGACCTACGCCTGATCAATATCTATGGACCTCAGTCAAAATGGGACAGGAAATGCCTCCTCACAAAGATCAAGCCCTTCCTTTTTACGTCTCATCAGTTTGTCTTTGGAGGTGACTTTAACACCATAATTAGGCCTGAAGACAGAAGAGGCTCCATAGACAGGCTGGGTTATAATAGCTTTTTTCTTTGAGATATGGTTAGACAGGCAGGCCTGGTAGATGTGCACATTAAGCACTGTCCAGGCAGCACGGGTTTCACATTTCAGAGAGGGAATAGTCAGAGCAGGATGGACAGGTTTTTTTTAAAGGAGAAATCTGCCTTCTCGGCTCCTGAGTTGAGGGCGGTGAAGTTCTCTGACCACTGTATGCTGTCTGACTCTGAATGTCTCGGACACTCCACCCAGGGGAAGGGGTGTCTGAAAACTCAATTCGGCTCTCCTGGAAGATGAAGAGTTAAGACAGTCCTTTGAGGATTTTTTTCAGGCACAGGTTTCTATTCTGGACTTTTGCAGCAGTAGGTCATAGTGGTGGGAGCTTGTGAAACAAAGGGTGATTGGACTTTTCAAGGCCATAAGTAAGAAGAAGCAGCTTGGTATCTATATTGCCTATCAGCATTTGCGGAGGAAGCTTGATCATCTTGTCTCGTTTGGAAGAGATCCAGGGGAGATCTCTGAAGTGAAGCTTCTTCTTAGAAAGTGTCAATATAATTGGCATGCCTCCTTGGTTCTGGTGAGGGATTATGGGAAATATCACTCGCCTGATCCTCACCAGAACTGTAAGCAAGGCATAGCAGTGAAGATGGTCATTGGCCTGAAAGACAGTACAGGTTCCCTGGTGAAGTCCAGATCAGGGATCTTGGAGATCTTTGGGCCATATTATGCAGACCTCCTGGGAAGAAAGGACCTTAGCGGGGACAGGATGGAAAGCTTTCTGGATTTTACTCCAGGACTGGGAAATGGTACATTGCTGTTGATGAATTTGACAGAACCAATTTCAGCGGATGAGGTAGTTCATGCTTTAGACAAGCTGGCTGCGAAAAAATCGCCTGGGCCAGATGGATTGACAGCTGAATTTTACAAGTGTATTAAGTCCATCCTGGCTCCCTTTTCAGCGGGGGGTTTTAACAGCTGTCCAGAAGAGGGTTCGCTCCCTCCTTCCATGAGGCTATCCGCTGTGATCCTTCTGTCAAAAGGTAAAGGCCCCTCAAAGATTGAAAACTGGCACCCCATCAGTGATAGAAAGATTTTGGCGAAGATTCTTTTTTTGCACTTGTCAGTAGCAGGCGATTTGTTGTCCAGCCATCAGCACTGTTCGGTCCAAGGTAGAAGTACCTTTTCAGAAGTTTTGGCTATCCGGGAGGCTTTGGAGCGATGAAGGGCTGTTGAATGGAGAAAGTACTTGCTGGCATTAGATCAGGAAAAAGCTTTTGACTGAGTGTACCATGAGTATCTGTGGTTGCTACTTGGTAGATACGGCCTGCAGTGGAGGTTTATAGACTGGCTGAAAACATTATATAGAGGGGCTGAGAACTTCCCACTTGTTAATGGTTGGGTTGGACGGCCTTCTGAGGTTGACTCTGGTGTGCCTTTGAGTCCCCTGCTATATGCTTTTGCAATTGACCCCTTTGTAAGAAGGCTAGAGGGTGCATCATTGTGTGGGGTGTTTTTGGCTTTGCTGGTGTGATAGAGCAGTACACAGTGGCTTATGGTTCTAAAGTCAACCATGAAAAGAGTGAAATTTTCTGGATGGGTGAGGAAGGTAAAAGCTTCAAACATCCAGATGCCTTCCTGAAGCCCCAGCAGGAAATTAAAGTGTTGGACATCAAATTTGGTACTGGTGACTATAGTCATTGAAATTGGGAAAGCAGGTTGGTGGATGCCAATGCCAAAGTAGCAAGCTGGAAGAAAAGGAGGCTTTCTTTGACGGAGAGGGTTGACTTGATCAAAACTTACCTGATCCTGATCTTTTTCTATGTCAGCTTCGTCTGTGTCTTGCCGGAATCTCTCTATGCAAGGGTCTACAGCTGTTTTTCCAACTGTTATGGGGAAATAGGCTGAACCTGATCAAATGCAATGTAACTTACCTGTCCAGGTGGGAGGGTGGCCTAGAAATGGTCAACCCAATAGTTTTCTTTTCTCTGCTCTTTTAAAGTATAATCTTGGTAATATGTTAGCAGAGACCCGCTGGAATGGGTGGGTATTCTTCAATGCTGGTTTAAGCCTTTTGTGCATTGCTGGAAAGATGGCGGGCCAGTGAAGAGTCTGAGAGTCCGACATGGCAAGCTTCCGGCTTATATTGCCCCATGCCTGAAAATACTTCAAGTGGCAGGTTACGGTGGAAGATATCAGGTCCCTTCCCAGGAAGCTTCTGGAGGAGAGGATTTTGGGTTCTGCTTTCAGTGTCTGGCATTAAGAGATTGCCCATGCTCTGTAATGAGGGAGGGGTTGCGTTAAATTAATTTGGAGAGAATCCCTTTAAAGTGTATGGATCAAGCCTGGCTCGCTTTCCATGGAAGGATGCATGTGAGAGGGAACCTGAAGCATCTCCCTGTGAATGATCTGGATTGTCCTAGAGTGGAGTGTTTTGGTAAAGTGGAGTCTATGGACCACTTTTTGCTACAGTGTCCCTTTAACATAGAGGTATATAAAAGGGTGGGGAGGGTGCTAGGCATCCCCTTTCTCTATTGCATGAGTTATGCAGAGTGGGTGTATTGGGTATTCCTGAGTTGCTGGGATTTTGATTTAGATACACTTTTTCTAGTATAATTCTTCTTTTACTTTTTAAATATCACATTTTATATAATAAAGTGTTTTTGTGATATATATAGTAAGAGACAATCTGTCACACAGAGGGTTCAACTTTCATTTCTCTGTGGTTTACTTAAATAATAATAATAATAATAAAAATAGATTAAATACAAATTAAAAAAGGAAATTAAATATCTGTGTGCCTAATCCCAAATTTGTCTTCTCTCTTTTCTCCCTAGGACTCTTTTCTTTTGGCCTGTTCTGCACAGTAATCTTTGCTGGAGCGGTTCAGACGGTCACCGGTAACCAGGCGCCTCACTTCTTGTCTGTGTGTCGCCCCAATTACACGGCTCTGGGCTGTATGTCTCACTTACAGTATGTGTCCTCGCCATATGCCTGCACTGGTGACCCTGAGCTCATCACTGAGGCTCGCAAAGCTTTCCCCTCCAAGCCAGCGGCTCTAGGAGCATACGCGGCAGTTTACACCACGGTACGTCCCCAATATGAAACCGTCTATAGAACTGTTTGTGTTCCCATAAAAAAACCAATCAGGTTCCAGCTGTAATTTTACTAGACAAATAAAAAAATGAAAGCCATTGTTGTAATAGGTGATTCAGAAAGTTATTCTAGCGTTATCACTCACCCGCTATAAATCCGCCTTCCACACATACGCACCTCCTCCCTCCATGGTGCCAAACAAACCTACTTTCTTTCCCTTATCAATACCCTCTCCTCTAATCCTCGCCGGCTCTTCTCAAACTTCAACTCTCTACTCTCTCCCCGCCCCCACCTCCACCCAGCACCTCACTCACACCACCATTGAGATTGCCAATCACTTCAAAAACAAGATTGACACATTTCGCAGGGACATCACCGCTGCCCAGACCTCCTCCCCACCTATCACCTCTCATGTGGTAACCCCCTCAACACCCCTCTCCCCTGGCATCACCACTGTTCAGACCTCCACCCCACCTAACATCCCGCACACTGAAGCCCCCTCCACACTCAACTCCTTCGACCTTACTACCACCGAGGAGGTCACTAAGGTCTTCTCCGAAGCCCACCTCACCACCTGCCCCCCCTCGACCCTGTCCCCTCACAACTCCTACGACCTCCCTTCTCCTCCATCCTTCGCTCCCTCACCCACATCTTTAATCTCTCCCTCTCTTCTGGCGCATTCCCCTCCCCCCTAAAGCACGCGCACATCACGCCCATACTCAAAAAGCCCTCCCTGGACCCCACTTACCTGAACAACCTTAGACCCATCTCCCTGCTGCCATTTCCATACAAACTCCTTGAGCGCTAAGTCTACAATCGCCTAAGCTCCCACCTCAACGACAACAACCTCCTTGACCCCCTACAGTCCGGCTTCCGTCCCCTACACTTCACCGAAACTGCTTTACTTAAACTCACCAACGACCTGCTAACCACCAAAGCTAATGGCCACTATTCAGTGCTCCTACTCCTCGACCTCTCCGCGGCTTTTGACACAGTCGACCACCCCCTCCTCCTCAAACAACTACACTCCCTTGGCCTCAGAGACTTTGCTCTCTCCTGGCTCTCGTCCTACCTATCACAACGCTCCTTCAGCGTCACTTATAACGCTACCACCTCCCCCTCACTCCCCCTCTCTGTCGGGGTCCCTCAAGGCTCTGTCCTCGGGCTCTTTCTCTTCTCCATCTACACCTCCTCCCTTGGCCAACTGATGCACTCTCACGGCTTCAACTACCACCTCTATGCCGACGACACGCAAATCTATCTCTCGACCCCTCGCCTCATCCCCTCAGTCTCCGCCGGAATCACTAGCCTGCTGAACGACATAGACTGGATGTCACTCCACTTCCTTAAACTGAACCTCTCCAAAACCAAGCTCCTAGTCTTCCCCCCAGCCCGCGCACCCCCCCCCCCCCCCCCTGACTTCTCCATTACGTCCAACAATGCCACCATCAGGCCCACCCCCCCGCAAGCCAGAGTACTTGGTGTCATTCTTGACTCCAATCTATCCTTCCTACCCCAAGTCCAATCGCTAACAAAATCGTGCAGACTCCACCTCCGCAACATCGCCAAAATACGCCCATTCCTAACCCCAGAAACCACTAAACAACTCATCCACTCCCCCTCATCATATCACGACTCGATTACTGCAACTCCCTCCTCACTGGCTTCCCTCACTGCAGACTATCCCCGCTTCAATCGATCCTGAATACGGCAGCCAGACTCATCCACCTTACCAACCGCTCCGTTTCCGCCACCCCCCTCTGCCAATCCCTCCACTGGTTTCCGATTGCCCAACGGATCAAATTCAAAATGCTTACACTGACGTACAAAGCTGTCTATAATACTGCCCCAAACTACATCACCGACCTAATATTCAAATTCCACCCTAAACGCACTCTCCGCTCCTCACAAGACCTCCTTCTCTCTAGTTCCCTGGTCTCCTCCTCCTATGCCCGCCTCCAGGACTTCTCCAGGGCATCGCCCATCCTCTGGAACTCCCTACCCCAATCCATCAGACTATCACCTACTCTCCTCTCCTTTAGGCGCACCCTGAAAACCCACCTCTTCAGGGAAGCCTACCCCGCCCCCTGCTAATTGCCGATCTCCTCCACTCTTCCTACCACTCCATCCCCCACAGCTTTTCCTCCTGTACCACTATCCCTTCCCTCCTAGATTGTAAGCTCCAAGGAGCAGGGCCCTCAATCCCCTCGTGTATCGCATTGTATTGTTATTGTACTGTCTCATATATTGTCCCCCATTGTAATGTACAGCGCTGAGCGAACTATTGGCGCTTTATAAATACTGTATAATAATAATAATAATAATTCTTTAAAAGTCCATTTACATTTTTTCAGTGCATCACCATGTTAACATGTAGTACAAAGATATAATATAAAGTGCAGCGCTTAAATATAAATGTGACACAAGATAAAATATTCATAAAAAAGTCCCAATAAAGGTGACCTAGGGTAACAGTGCACACTGACCAGAAGTGCACATAATTAGTGCAATGTAGAAAAGATGGAGTTCAGAAAGCCGTCCTCAGCATGAAGAGGGTAGATGTATTCCCCTGATTAATGAAGGTCCACACGATGAGTACAGTACTCAGAATAAATCCACTGGATGGCAGAAAAAGGAATCACGGCTCCACCAAAGAAAAGCACCACTCCTCCACTGCACATCAACGATATCTAGAAAAAATGCTCCCCACAAGGGATCAAGAAAAAATGCCCATAGTGAAGTACTGTAAAACTAATTTATTGGGATAAAGCAGGATGCATCCAGTAAAATGGCATAAGAAAGGCTAGCACACAGACAGCTAGCACATGTAAAACGGACAGGACTAACCGTCCTGTCAGATGTAGTGGCCGCCGGAGCTCCACAATGCTCCAACGGCCTACGCACGCCGGGGCTCCACAATGCTCCGACGGCCTACGCACGCCTTGACGTCACGCCGTCGGAGCATTGTGGAGCTCCGGCGGCCACTACATCTGACAGGACGGTTAGTCCTGTCCGTTTTACATGTGCTAGCTGTCTGTGTGCTAGCCTTTCTTATGCCATTTTACTGGATGCATCCTGCTTTATCCCAATAAATTAGTTTTACAGTACTTCACTATGGGCATTTTTTCTTGATCCCTTGTGGGGAGCATTTTTTCTATATATCGTTGATGTGCAGTGGAGGAGTGGTGCTTTTCTTTGGTGGAGCCGTGATTCCTTTTTCTGCCATCCAGTGGATTTATTCTGAGTACTATACTCATCGTGTGGACCTTCATTAATCAGGGGAATACATCTACCCTCTTCATGCTGAGGACGGCTTTCTGAACTCCATCTTTTCTACATTGCACTAATTATGTGCACTTCTGGTCAGTGTGCACTGTTACCCTAGGTCACCTTTATTGGGACTTTTTTTATGAATATTTTATCTTGTGTCACATTTATATTTAAGCGCTGCACTTTATATTATATTTTATTCATGTGAGGATTTTTTTGGTTATCCTGTGTGTTTCAGCTGCTTGTCTATCTAAAAAGCGCTCACTTTTTTGCTCTCTGTTCTATATGTAGTACAAAGAGGCAGCCTATTAAAAATAATCGTCTGCTAATGCACCAAAACATCCTAAATATTGGACACGTCACAAATCTTGTAGCGCAATGCACTGTGCTGTGTTCTGACCTGCTGCCACACATGAGCATTGCCTTAGTGCATTGGGGTGTCACTCAAAATGAGTAACGCTGCAATGCTTGTAACATATGTTGCTGCATGTTGTAGTAATGTGTTACCACATCACAGAAGCATCATACCACATAAGCATTATACCACAAGCACAGTGTGTTCTATGGTACGTGGTATGAGTATCAACACAAATTTAAAGGGCCAGTCCACTATTAATAATTTCAAGTGCATGCTATCCAGTTAAATCACCCAGCAGCTTCTGTGAGCAGATTTTTGTTTCTAGACTTTCATTCCAAGGTGACAGATCTGAAGTGTCACTCTCACTCTGAGATTTCCTTTATTTTACATAGGAAACAGTGCACTGAAATGAAACTTCTTGCTTGTCTTATTGGTAGCCATTTGCAGACCTTGCTGGAAGTTGCTGCTAAGTGCCGTTAAAGGTGTAAAAAGCCAGTAGGAGATAAAGCTGACCAGTAGTGGAGTATCAGGACAAAGTGGAGCAGGACCCTGCCTTGGGAGCGTGAGATGGCTTCCTATACTCCTTTATGGTCTTTCTGTAGGGTCATGTCAATGCAAAATATGCAGAGGGAATGAGTTTGATCTTTTATACTGTAATTATTATTATTATTATTATTATACAGGATTTATATAGCACCAACAGTTTGCTCAGTGCTTTACAATATAACGGGAGACAATACAGTTCAATACAAGAGGGATAGGAGGGCCTGATCCTGGGAGCTTACAATCTAAGAGACTGTATGTCTCTTAGACTGTAAGGTTGTAACAACTGTAATAAAAAAAACAGTCGTTTGAAGACAGGATAGTAAGTCCCAGGGGTGGACTGACCATTTGGAAACTCGGGCACTGCCCGAGGGCCTGGGCTCAGTAGGGGGCCCCATGAGATGCCCCTGGTACCTTTTTCATAGGCTTTTTGGAGTTTGGGCAAGGACACAGGGGCCCCATGATCCCCTATTGCCCAGGGGCCCCATGAGTTGTCAGTCTGCCCCTGGTAAGTCCACAATGCAGGCAGACAATGGCATAGTTCAGCATCAATGCACACGTTATCAGAGATAACCTAACAGGGTGTAATTCCTTCTATCCTTTTCATCTAATGGGACTGTAATCTGTGAAATACAATAACTTTTCTATGTTTTTGAAGTTACAGTATTTTATTTCATCTTTTTGGCCCATCTCTCCATAAAATGCTTAACATAAGAATATTTTGTGCTAATATCTGTATAATTTTCATTTCTATAGATGTATGTCACACTTGTTCTAAAGATAAAGGGATCTCGGCTGGTGAAGCCATCCCTGTGTCTGGCTCTCCTCTCCCCATCATGGCTGCTGTGCCTGCTGCGTGTGGCTGAGTACCGGAACCACTGGAGGGATGTTCTTGCTGGCACCGTGGTCGGATCTGCTATTGCTGTTTTCCTAGTAAGAACTGGGAATGGGGTTATTTAAAATGTGGTCTAAAAGCTGGACTCTAGGCAAACAGCTAAATACAAAACATAAAATACATATAAGGGAACTGATTTACCTGCCAAAAGTACTGTAGATTTATATTCCTGTTTCACAGGCCAGGAAAAAAAACTCCCCCTTCATCAGGTCTTCAGTTAAAATAAATCTTGAATGGGCTCAAAATGGGGATTTACTGTGTGACTCTATGTAGGGAAGCTGATGGCTGAACTAGGAGATATTAGCCAGTAGCATTTGTTTGAGCAATCCAGAGAATCTGAATTTCTATTCACACCTCCTCTCTTGGTTACTTGATAAACTCCCACAGCTTCTAGTACCATCTCTATGCTGATGACACCCAAATCTATCTTTCTACTCCTCACCTCACCCCTTCAGTTTCCTCTCACATTACTGACATGTCAGGATGTATGTCGCACCACTTCCTCAGTCTCAATCTTTCCTCAAACTCAATCTTTCTTAAACTGAAATCAGAATATTTCCTCTCACCCATGCCCCCTCCCCTGACATCTCCATCAAGATCAGTAATACAGCTATCATGTCCTCCCGTCATGCCAGGGTACTAGGTGTAATCCTGGACTCTGACCTGTCCTTTCAGCCCCAAATCCAATCGCTGTCCAAATCTTGTAGGCTTCCCCTCCGCAACATCTCCAAATACACCCCTTTTCAACCCTTGAAACCACTAAGCAACTATTAACTATTGTGACTCCCTCTTCATACGTCGACCTCTTCGCAGGCTATTACTCCCTTCAGCCTATCATGAATGCTACTTCCAGAATCATCTACCTTACCAACCGCTGTGTTCCGCCACCCCTGTCTTCCCATCTCTCCACTGACTGCCCAATGAATAAAATTCAAAATCGTAACAACAATATAGAAAGCCATTTGCAACTCTTATTTACAAAGATCACCCAAACCGTCCTTTCCGCTCCTCCCAAGACATTTTGATCTTTAGCTCTCTTGTCTCCTACTCCCATGCTTGTCTCCAGGACTTCTCCAGAGCCTCTTCCATCCTCTGAAACTCCCTACGCTCATCTGCCCACTACTCTGTCCATGTTTAGGTGATCCTATACTGCCTTCAGCTAACAACTGTTCATCCCCCACTTTTATTACCTTTTGTTCCACTTGCCCCTCTCTATTAGATCATAAGCTCCCAGGAGCAGGGCCCCCCTAACACAGAGGAACCCTTGAAATAACTTTCCAGCCTCAGGGAACCCCTGTTAAAAATGACTATATTTACAATTCATGATACATTAGTGTGATGGTCAGTGGGATGAATGCTCCTTACACTTGTGGTCTTTGTGAACAATTGATCCCTTACAAATAGCTAAAAAAGATCAGTGGTGTCAGAGGGAACTAATCTGAGAGGCAGAAATTGCTCATTGCTCAAGGATCCCGTAGCAACTCGTGGAGGAATCCCGGTTGAGAAACCCTGTGCTTATATTGTACGTATCTGTAAATGCTTGTGAATGTGTCTGTTGTAGATGTCTGACTTTGTAGATGAAGTCACACTAGGGGTTCTTTACTGAAACTGCATGTTACAAAATCTAGTGCAGCTCTACATAGAAACCAATCAGCTTCCAGGTTTTATTGCCAAAGCTTAACCTCCCTGGCGGTATTCCCGAGTGTAGCTCAGGGTAAAGTTTCAGTACCAAAAGCAGTAACCCCGAGCTACACTCGGGAATACTCTGCAGCGTTGCTCCGGGATCCCTGTTTCACTTACCTTGTCCTGCGCTCCCACGATTTCCCCCCTGCAGTGTCCCCGGCCATCTCCCCCGGCCGATGCTGGCATCCGTCTTCCAGGTTCCGTTCCCTGCGACGTCGGGACGTACGGGGAGGGAACCGGCGGGAAATTCAAAAATTTTAAAAGTGGCATTCACTCAATACACTAAAATCACATAGTATTCCATTACTGTATCAAACCATTTCACATACATTTTGTCCCGAGTGCTTTGACCTGCGCCCTGCCTGCATTTTTACTGTTCTTTCTGCCTGGAAACTGAGAAACGTCCATGGCGTCCAAAAAGCGTCCCTTTAGGTCAAAAGCGGTTTTTAGACCGGCTAGAGAACAGCGATAGTAAATCAGAACCACTTGCAGAATTGAGTGATAATGATTCGTGGGGGAAATTCGACATCAGACACTGAAAACGATTCTGCGACTGAGCTCAGCGATGTGCGAACTTGGCGCTCTATTTCACATTTCAGTGTTTTTGGTTTGATTATATTATTGAATTAAATTTATTATTATTTTTTATGATTTTTTTTCTTATATTATAATTTATGATTTCGTGTTTCAAATTTTAACATACTCGGGATGTTTACTAGACTCTTGTTCGGACAGATTTCAGTGAGTTATTCCTAAAAATTACAGGCCTACAATAAAAAAAACATATTTCCATGCAAAAAAATGTACCGCTTTGAGCACAGAAATAGTGACATAATCAGACCGCTAGGGAGGTTAATTGAACAAGCTGAAGGTAGAAGCTGATTGGCTACCATGCACAGCTGCAGCAGATTCTGAGGACACCGGTTTTAGTGAATCTTCACCAATTTGTCTAACTAATCTCTGTCCCGGAGCATTTTGTGAGGTATCTATAGGTACACTTTATGAAGATTTATCTAGATGTTAAACTGTTTCCAATTGTATGAACAGTAATGTCATTCAGATTTTCTGCTCCTATAAAAAGAATATATTTACAGCAGAAAATGATAACTGAAAAAGAGAAAAAGGAATTGGTTAATCCCACAGATCTAACAACACTCTCTGAATTCCCCTCCTGCTTCAGGTAACCTGTGTGCTGAATAATTTTGGAAGCTCCACCCCTGAGGAGAAGGAGTTACAGCAGAAAGAAGAGGACGAGGTCCCCATTCCTGAGAACCTTCATCCTCCGGCACGTGAAAAGTTAAGTGTGGTACAGGTAAGGGGGGACCCAGTGAGCTAACAAGAACAGTTCTCATTTATCAATGTGTCTTGAATAAGACGTGGATCCACAGCTTTATAACAACCAGACTCAAAGGACAGGATCTGATTAGTTCATATTTCAGACACTTTGATAAAGTGGTAGGTTAGCCATAAAGCAGATGTCTCCACAATGACCGAGACAAGCAGAAGGACACCTTCCTGTCCTCGGTAGTTCCTGGACTCACCGCCCTTTGTGCAATAAGGTCGGAGCACTCTTCACTACCCAGAAGGATAGCAGCAAATTGAAGCCATAAAGCTGGAGTCAGGCTTTAACCCCTTGGCGCTGGCGCCTCCTGGCCCTTTAAGGGTTTCAGAAGCCGGGAGGCGGGGCAGGGTTTAGTGTCATATGACACGCCATCACAGCGGTCACATGATCTGGAAAGGTCCCGATCGAAAGAGGAGATCAGGACCTTTCCGTGAGTACTGGACATGTGTGCTGGGAGCAGGGGTGGACTGACAACTCATGGGGCCCCCAGGCAATAGGGGATCATAGGGCCCCTGTGTCCTTGCCCAAACTCAAAAAAGCCTATGAAAAAGGTACCAGGGGCATCTTATGGGGCCCCCTACTGACCCCGGGCCCTCGGGCAGTGCACGAGTTTCCAAATGGTCAGTCCGCCCCTGGCTGGGAGCGCGTATGGCGTGCGCTATCAGCACATATGTTTTTTTTTTTTTTATAGAACGAAGAAGATAGAAGATCTAGGCCCAGACGCCGAGAGGCCGCACATTTGCGTTCGGCTGGCGTGAAGAGGTTAACCGCTTGTTGACTGTGCTATAGCCGACTGACGGCTACAGCACGGTCGTCCAGTTCTGGGAGGGCTTCATATGACGTCCTCCCAGAACCATGCCCCCAGTGGCGCACACCCGGCGCTCTGTGTTCGCTGCGTCTTTTGGACACAGCTAATCACATGACATGGTAAAGGACCAATCACAGTGGCCTTTTACCACATGATCAGCTGTGTCCAATCACAGCTGATCACCATGTAAACATACTTGCTGGTTATTGGCAGTACTTTCTCCACACTGTCACAGCATGAGGAAAGTACTGCCGATAAAAGGAGACATCTACATTGATAATCAGGGCACTATCAGCGCCCTGATTATCAGAGCAGCCCCATCAGCACCCCAACAGTGCTGCCAATTTTCTTTTTTAAAAAAAAAAAAAACTATTTGGTCTTTTTTCATTTGTTTAGCAAAAAAATAAAACACCCAGTGGTGATTAAATACCACCAAAAAAAGCTCTATTTGTTTGAAAATAATGGTAAAAATTTCATATGGGTGTAGTGTTGCATGACCGCGCAATTATTATTCAAAGTGCGACAGCGCTGAAAGCTGAAAATTGGCCTGGGCAGGAAGGTAGGCAAGTGGTTAATGTATTCAGCAATGTTTTGAGCAGTATTGTTTTGTCCTGTTGATAGGAGATAGGAGCATGCTGTGAAATTCAACAACCCTCCTTGCCCAGTACAGGCTCCATAACAATTTACTTTTCATGCTGTTTTATTTATAGATGTATGGATGTAGGACAGACTCTGAAGCTGACCTTATACCATTGTTTTTTTTTTTCATTCAGCCAGTGGGCTGAATTATAAAAAAATACAAAAAAACCCCAACAGATTCCTCCATCCACACAAATAGGGTGGATGGAGGAATCCATGCCACCAGATGGCTAATTCACACAGTGTGTGGCGGCAGACATTTTACTGCATTGTAAAACGTCTGTCACTGCAAGAACACACAGAAAACAATTGTTTCCTATGTGTCCCATTCACAGCCTATGGCTGTGCTACAGCATGCTACAATAAAATGCGGACACGCTGCATTTTATCCAAGCACACCATGCCGAACCGCATGGTAATGTGCAGCAACGTAGCCGTGTGATGCGCTGAATCACACACCACACTGCCCCCTACCGCAGCTGGGAACACATTTGTCTAAGCGGTAAAGTGTTCCCAACAGGTCACAGACCGGTACCCCACATGGAAGAACAATATATTTCACCTCACAAGCCCCCCCGAAGAATCCCTTAGACTAGTGGTCCCCAACCTTCGGCCAGTCCCACATAGAAGAAAAATATATTTTAAATATATTTTTAAAAATATTCTTCCCAAATATATTGACATATATTTGAAATACTACAATGTTGGCCGTATTCTATATATATTTATATATATATATATATATATATATATACTGCATGATGGAATGCGTTTTTTATATATTACAAAATCTATGAATATATTTTTAAATATATTCTTCAGATTTTTTTCACATATAAAAAAAGTCATTTTAACATATCTTTTTGCATATATTTGTAAATAAATTCTAAAAATGTAGATTAAATGTATTTTTAACCACTTACCTACCGGGTGCTTTTACCCCCTTCCTGCCCAGGCCAATTTTCAGCTTTCAGCGCTGTCGCACTTTGAATGACAATTGCGCGGTCATGCAACACTGTACTCATATGAAATCTTTATCATTTTTTTTTGAGACAGATAGAGCTTTCTATTGGTGGTATTTAATCACCTCGGGGTTTTTAATTTTTTTCTAAACAAACCAAAAACAACTGAAAATTTTGAAAAAAAAAAACGTTTTTACTTAGTTTCTGTTATAAAATGTTGTAAATAAGTGATTTTTCTCCTTCACTGATGTGCGCTAATGAGGCTGCAGTGGTGGGCACTGATAGGCGGCACTGATGAGGAGGCACTGGTAGGTGGCACTAATGGGCATTGACAGGCATCAGTGATGGGCACTGAAAGGCAGCACTTATGTATGGCACTGATAGGTAGTACTGATAGGCGGCACTGATTGGCACTGATAGGTGGTGCTGACTGGCACTGTTAGGTGGTACTGACTGGCACTGTTAGGTGGCACTGATGGGCAGCACTGACTGGCACTGATAGGTGACACTGACAGGCACTGATAGGTGGTACTGATAGGCAGCACTGATTGGCACTGATAGGTGGCGCTGCCTGGCACTGATAGGTGGCGCTGCCTGGCACTATTAGGTGGTACTGACTGGCACTGTTAGGCGGCACTGATAAGCAGCACTGACTGGCACTGATAGGTGACACTGACTGGCACTGATTGGCAGCACTGATAGGCGGCACTGACTGGCATTGATAGGTGGCAATGACTGGCACTGATAGGTGGCACTGAAAGGCAGCTCAGATGGGCACTGATATGTTGCATTGATTTGCACTGGTAGGCAGTGATACGTGGCATTGATGTGGCACTGATGGGCACTGGCAGGTGGCACTGCTGGGGCTACACTGATCATCAGGGCTCACTGATGATGTGTGTTTTTAAAGGAAAAGTATAAGCACCCATTCACAACTACACAGACAGTATGTGGTAGCAAACTGTCATGCCCATAGATGTAAATACGCCCTGAAGGTGTTTAGTAGGTTTAATCATCTATTGCTACTTATATGCCTGTTAACACATTTTTTTGTGCATTGATGCATATTACCTTAAGGCAGACTTTTCACTTTCCCAATGTATGAAAATATATACCTGCACTTCTTTTGGGCAGCACACATTACATTCACATCTGTTGCCCGATGCACTGAAGGGCAGGTGTGCTTGTTTGGAGACGCTCCTGTATGTTGCCATACTGTTGAAGGTTGCCAGACCAGTTCTCTTAGGTCCGTTGGGCTGTAATGGGCTCTGCTAATAACGTGGTGTATTGAGGTGTATGGGAGAGAAAGCAGCAAGAGCGAAGCTTGTAATGGATTATCACTGTGCTTAGTGAACTGAGCCTATTGTTTGCTATAGAATGGGAAATGCATTGTAAAGGAGTTGTGTAACAATGCAAAATACTGATGAAAGCTGCAGTCCTATGATTCTCAAGCTGCTGCTTCTCTTTAAGTTCGGTCACTCATCTGGAATGAATATGCCCAGTAGTCGCACTATATCAGATTACATCAGATGCTTTGGAGACGGGTGTTTTACTTTGTGCCACATTCCCTTTAAGAGATTTAAAGCTGAACTCTGGGGAAATGAAAAATCTACCCTTCCACTAAGGCTCCCCCCTGCACTGCAAAGACTGAATGGGTGTTTATGCCTTGGGTACCTGTAAAAAAGCACCTTTGCTCACCTTAACTTTTGATTCCCTGGCATCTGATGCTCATGTGTTCTCTCTGATGCTCTGGATTGTGGGTGGACCCTCGGCATCCCCTTTTTGAATGCAGGACTATTATTTATTTCAGGTACTTATATAGCGCCATCAATTTATGCAGGGCTTTACATACATATTGTACATTCACATCAGTCCCTAACCCTCAAGGGGTGTACAATCTAAGGTCCCCAACTTATATTCATATACAAGGGCCAATTTAGACAGGATCCAATTAACCTACCAGCATGTCTTTGGACTGTGGGAGGAAACCAGTGTCCGAGTGCACGAATGGTCAGTCCGCCCCTGATGCGCTCCCTTCTCAAGCATTGAAGGAAATCAGTGAGAGTAATTTTGCTTTTTAGGGGGAGAAACAAGTACAGATTTCAAATATGTCATGACCAGTATTAGTCACTCCTTTATCCATTCATTTTTTTTTGCCATATAATGGTCAGCCCTCACACATGTTCACTTCATCAAATCTGGCCCTCTTTGAAAAACGTTTGGACACCCCCTGGTCTACAGCAACATAATAATGTATACTTTGCTGTCCAAACAATTATAACATTTCTCTTCTGTTTATCTCTCCTCCCTTCCTTCCTTTTTTCCTTCCCTTTCCTTCCTTCTTTCCTTCCCTCCCTCCTTCCTTCCTTCCCTCCCTCCTTCCTTCCCTCCCTCCTTCCTTCCTTCCTTCCCTCCCTCCTTCCCTTCCATCCTTCCTTCCTCCTTCCTTCCTTCCTTCCCTCCTTCCTTCCTTCCTTCCCTCCTTCCTTCCTTCCTTCTTTCCTTCCTTCCTTCTTTCCTTCCTTCCTTCCCTCCTTCCTTCCTTCCCTCCTTCCTTCCTTCCTTCCCTCCTTCCTTCCCTCCTTCCTTCCTTCCCTCCTTCCTTCTTTCCTTCCCTCCTTCTTTCCTTCCCTCCCTCCTTCCTTCCCTCCCTCCCTTCCTTCCTTCCCTCCTTCCTTCCCTCCTTCCTTCTTTCCTTCCCTCCCTCCTTCCTTCCTTCCTTCTTTCCCTCCCTCCTTCCTTCCTTCCCTCCCTCCTTCCTTCCTTCCTTCCTTCCTTCCTTCCTTCCTTCCTTCCTTCCTTCCTTCCTTCCTTCCCTCCCTCCTTCCTTCCTTCCTTCCCTCCTTCCTTCCTTCCTTCCTTCCCTCCCTCCTTCCTTCCTTCCCTCCTTCCCTCCCTCCTTCCTTCCTCCTTCCTTCCCTCCTTCCCTCCCTCCTTCCTTCCTTCCCTCCTTCCTTCCTTCCCTCCCTCCTTCCTTCCTTCCCTCCCTCCCTCCTTCCTTCCCTTCTCCTTCCCTCCTTCCTTCATTCCCTCCCTCCTTCCTTCCTTCCTTCCTTCCCTCCCTCCTTCCTTCCCTCCTTCCTTCTTTCCTTCCCTCCCTCCTTCCTTTCCTCCCTCCCTTCCCTCCCTCCCTTCTTTCCTTCCCTCCCTCCCTTCTTTCCTTCCCTCCTTCCTTCTTTCCTTCCCTCCTTCCTTCCTTCCCTCCCTCCTTCCCTCCTTCCCTCCCTCCTTCCTTCCCTCCTTCCCTCCTTCCTTCCTTCCCTCCTTCCTTCCTTCCCTCCTTCCTTCCTTCCTCCTTCCTTCCTTCCCCTCCTTCCTTCCCTCCTTCCCTCCTTCCTTCCTTCCCTCCCTCCTTCCCTCCTTCCTTCCTTCCTTCCCTCCTTCCTTCCTTCCTTCCTTCCTTCCTTCCTTCCTTCCCTCCTCCCTCCTTCCTTCCTCCTTCCTTCCCTCCTTCCTTCCCTCCTTCCCTCCTTCCTTCCTTCCTTCCCTCCTTCCTTCTTTCCTTCCCTCCCTCCTTCCCTCCTTCCTTCCTTCCTCTCAATAGGATTGTGGAACTCCATCCAGCAATGTCACCTGACCCTCCTCCATGCCTTGTTCCTGTCACTCCTGATGTTCTTATACCATCGAACTGTATGACCAGCCAAGTATAGAGCTCAACGGTGCTCATCGAAGTTTCACCAACTGGAAAGTGCCCAAGAGCTGTAAGAGTGTGGTCCGTTTGCACTGAATATCCATATGCACGTCAGAGACAAATCTCCCGCCTTTACCATCACTCTGACACTGGTAATATAACGTGAGATATTTTCCTGATTTTGGCACCAAATTCTCACATTTCAAAAGTGATTTCATTTTCTTAGTGTTATTTACCATGCTTGTCATTTGTATGTGTGTGCGTTCAGACCTTTGTTATTGCAGCAAAATAGCACCTATGATTTCCTCTTTGTCTCCCTACAGATGTTCAGCTGCAGCAATTCTGTATATAAAATGTAGGTCCTATTTATATATAAAAATCCTTGCGGCTGATCAACCGTTTTCTTAGGAAGCATCCTCAATTCCTACAGCTTCAAATGTTTGTTGGGCTGTTTGGTGATAATTTTTCACAAATTTTTACTGTATTTTTACAATTATTATAAATTAGTGAAATCTCCAGCCTGCAAAAATTTTAGGACAGATTTTCACTGAAAATATTGGCAAAAATTTTCCCCACCCAAAAACCTGTTCAACTCCATATTTAAAGGAAGAACTTCATAAAGTCTTCATTGATTTACCCATATCTACCGAATCTTGTAGATATGGATAAAAGAAAGCAGATGGAATTTCGCAGAGAAACATACAATAATCTGTTTTTCTGACCTGTTTAATAGGGCCTTTTGCCTCCTTAAAGTGTACCTGTCAGTAGACAAGTTGCTGCAAAAGATGGTAGAGGATATGAACTACCCTATGTTCTTCCTTTTATGAAGATTTTAGTGTATTCTGAAATCTGGACGGTTAAATTGGACCTGAAACAGACTAAACCACATCTAAGGTAACAACAGTGCTGTGTTGGCCTAGAACTTGATTCCTGTGTCGCTGGGGAGTCCCTTGGGCCCTAGGTCCAGACTGTACTGGGCATCTCAACTAAGCCTTCTCTCTAAGCCATGCCCCTGTTATTCCGCTGGAAGATACCAGAATTTCAGTGCACAGTAGAGGTTTTGGCATTTGATATTTGAATGATGGGACGCAACTTCAAGTAACACATAATGAATTTATGCCACAAGTTCAACTCTTTTACTGGTATAAAGGTGTATTCTGTGCCCGTCCTCATTTAGTTTTAATTTTCTCCTGGCTTAACTTCACCAGCAGCTATCTTCTTGTACTGTGAGAATTGCACTGGCCACTAGTGAGCGTCCCTGGACAATGGAATGGCAAGGATGAGGCTTAGCTATGAAGTCAGAAGTTCTTCCATCACAAACTCTAAAATATTTGTCTAAGTATTAGAAGTTGCCCCAAGCTTCTTCCAGGGTTGTTACAACCATAAGGGGAGAGGTCTGTCCCAGGCGGTGTCTTCTAAGGGCAGAGTGGACCCTTACCCCAGATAACAGCAGAGGGATCCAGAAGCTGCGGAATGTATTTCTAGTCCATTAAGACCTCATTTACATGGACCTCAAAGGGTGCTTGGCAAGCATTTGTAGTGCCTACGAACTGCCAAATGGACTCGTACTTCACCTTTACTAGACATTGCTTTTCACTGTGTCAACCCTAGAGTTGCATGCAACTTTCGAGCCACACTATTCCATTCATTTCAATTGCCTACCTCCATTTGGGAAGTGTTGACAGTTTTTGCCAAAGACACTTGCTAACATGGGGTTGCTCCTTTACATGGTCTGCAAGGATGTAACCTAACAGCAACTGCCTCCATCAGAGTTGGTTGAGTGAGGTGGAGCATCATTTCATGTGTAGGAAAGCCCCTGCTCCTATCTCGCCTAACCTAACCTTCTAATACTTCTAACCTTCTAACAAAGGAGTTTAAAGTTGTGGATGGGCAGGGCAGAACTTTTCTGAAATACACTAAAACCTTCAACTTGAAGACAGCAATAGCAGATCCAGCCTTTCCTGCTTCTTGGCAGCTTGCTGTATGCTGCAGTGTAATAGGTGCACATTAAGGCTAGGCGACACTCTATGGGACTCCCTAAGCCTCATCTTGAGTGATGTTGCACAAATAGCTATCACAGTACAAATCCCACTATCCATATTCCAACCCAACACTACAGTTAAGTAAAAGCCCCTCTCAGGCATGCTGCAGCCTAACCCAGCTTGATTGCTGCATTTGTATTGTCCCCTCTCATTGGTGATGTCAGACCACTCATTGACTGCTGCCCGTGTAGCTGCACCTATCATAAAATAATAATAACTACCTTTCCAACAATGCAAATTGTTTCATTGTAAGGGTCCTTCAGACCATTGAGTTGTGCTACCATTTTACATAGACCGCCAATTAACCTACATAGTGGTACCATTTTGAGTGGAACTCCAGTGAAGCTACACAGTGGAACTATTTTGAATGGAACTCCAATGAACCTACACAGTGGTACCATTTTGAGTGGAGCTGCAGTGAACCTACACTGTGGAACTATTTTGAATGGAACTCCAATGAACCTACACAGTGGTACCATTTTGAGTGGAGCTCCAGTGAACCTGCACCGTGGAACTATTTTGAATGGAACTCCAATGGACCTACACAATGGTACCATTTTGAGTTGAACCTACACCGTGCACCACAACGCACATCCATGTCATCACGCCAAAATGCACAGATGGTTCACATCTGTGCATTGTGCTGCACTGCTATGGGAAAAAAAGGTGTAGGTCTGTTAATTCAACCCATTCAAAATGAATAAGATGAATGTGGTAGCACATTGCAACAATATGAATTGCATCATGTGATCAGTGGAGCACAAGGAGGGGTTGTGTGTAAATAACAGCGACCTTCAGGCCCAGATGCTGCTAATCAGAGTAAAAGTTTTCAAGTAAAAGATATTTTTTCCCCATGGAAAGGTTAAAGCAGTCCTTGTGTCATATCTAATTCTTCATGTTAAGTGCACACGTGTTACTTAATGTACAAGCTTTATACTTACAGGTATTTATTACCTCTCACAAAGATCACAGTAATGGTCCTCACCCCTCTGACAATGTCTTCATCTTTCCTAATGTCCAGAAGGCCAGATCCATCTTTTTTAGATATCATCAAGGGTCAGTATCTAATTTCAGAACTGAGATGTTGGCTAAGAGATCACAGTTATGTAAATCCTGGTGCCTGCAATTCGTGGCTGTTTTTACAAATGACTTGATACAAATTTACAATGTGCAGTCTAACTCCACCATTCTTGACCAGAGTTCACTGAAACCCTAGGATTCCTCCAGAGGTTGCTGGATGTTCCTTGAGCTATGGCTGATTGACCTCCCATGGCATTCTGACCACCACCAATAAAGGGACTTTTTTTCCTACTGAACACCAATGAATTGGTTTTTGAAAGGTTTCCCTGAGACCTGAAAATTATTTTAGCTCTTCTGTTAAGAGGTTTAACCCACACAGGACACATAGCAAGGGCACATTGGAAGCTGAAGATATCCAGTGTGTCCCGATTCAACAACTATACAAACAATTTGCAACCAGCCCAAACTATAACTAGCCTTTGCAGCAAGGAGCACATGGAAGGGCAATGCATGTCAAAGATAAACAAAAATTCCCAGCTCACTTACCAGCCGGCCTGCAATAAAACCAAATTGACCCTGTCTAACAATTCAGTATATGTGTAAGCTGCAGGAGCCGCAACAAAGGCACCCACGTGTACTCCAGTCCTAACTCTATAATATTGAGAGTCTCCCAAGTTGGAACACATATACCTGTAGAAATGGATACGTTGAGGGCAAGTGTGCCTGGATACCAGAATAGGAAAGCAATATAAGTGAGCGCTCTGAGAAAGTAGCCACTAGAACCAAAAAAAGGTGACACACCAACCTCACAAAACAACACTGGAAAAAGAATAGTGCAGCGCTTAAAATAAATATCCATGTGACATAAACATAAAGTTTAAAGTTTACCTGTAACTAAAAAACAATCATGATACTAGTGCAAAAATGAAATAGGACACGTCCAATTGGTGTCACAAGTTCCACATAGATCAGTATATCATAAATGGATAAATGATGAATAATACAATAACTATAAAGAATTAATCAATGGTTCTACAAAACACGTGTCCAACCAGTATAGTGTATATCCAGATGAGCAAGTCCCAAAGTGCAACACAACTTCTCCACCTTGTCACCAGCAGTGTGCAATCCTGTATTATAGCCAATGCTGTACATCCCAGGTACCCTCCCTAGCATTCAAGCCCATGGCCACCTGTGTGTCCCAAGTACTCTCCTTTGCATTCATGCCCTGGATGCCAATCAACTTTCTTGCAGGATTGATGTTGTCATCTCATCTCCCAGTCCCGACGTCTCCTGAAAAGGCTTCCTCTGGATTCCGGGGCCTGTCACTTTACCGAAACAGGTATTGAATGCTGAGGAGAGTACTTGGGATACACAGGCAGCCAGGGGCTTGAATGCTGAAGAGAGTACTTGGGATACACAGGCAGCCAGGGGCTTGAATGCTGAAGAGAGTACTTGGGATACACAGGCAGCCAGGGGCTTGAATGCTGAGGAGAGTACTTGGGATACACAGGCAGCCAGGGGCTTGAATGCTGAAGAGAGTACTTGGGATACACAGGCAGCCAGGGGCTTGAATGCTGAAGAGAGTACTTGGGATACACAGGCAGCCAGGGGCTTGAATGCTGAAGAGAGTACTTGGGATACACAGGCAGCCAGGGGCTTGAATGCTGAGGAGAGTACTTGGGATACACAGGCAGCCAGGGGCTTGAATGCTGAAGAGAGTACTTGGGATACACAGGCAGCCAGGGGCTTGAATGCTGAGGAGAGTACTTGGGATTCACAGGCAGCCAGGGGCTTGAATGCTGAGGAGAGTTCTTGGGATACACAGGCAGCCAGGGGCTTGAATGCTGAAGAGAGTACTTGGGATACACAGGCAGCCAGGGGCTTGAATGCTGAAGAGAGTACTTGGGATACACAGGCAGCCAGGGGCTTGAATGCTGAAGAGAGTACTTGGGATACACAGGCAGCCAGGGGCTTGAATGCTGAGGAGAGTACCTGGGATACACAGGCAGCCAGGGGCTTGAATGCTGAGGAGAGTACCTGGGATACACAGGCAGCCAGGGGCTTGAATGCTGAGGAGAGTACCTGGGATACACAGGCAGCCAGGGGCTTGAATGCTGAGGAGAGTACCTGGGATACACAGGCAGCCAGGGGCTTGAATGCTGAAGAGAGTACTTGGGATACACAGGCAGCCAGGGGCTTGAATGCTGAGGAGAGTACTTGGGATACACAGGCAGCCAGGGGCTTGAATGCTGAAGAGAGTACTTGGGATACACAGGCAGCCAGGGGCTTGAATGCTGAAGAGAGTACTTGGGATACACAGGCAGCCAGGGGCTTGAATGCTGAAGAGAGTACTTGGGATACACAGGCAGCCAGGGGCTTGAATGCTGAGGAGAGTACCTGGGATACACAGGCAGCCAGGGGCTTGAATGCTGAGGAGAGTACCTGGGATACACAGGCAGCCAGGGGCTTGAATGCTGAGGAGAGTACCTGGGATACACAGGCAGCCAGGGGCTTGAATGCTGAAGAGAGTACTTGGGATACACAGGCAGCCAGGGGCTTGAATGCTGAGGAGAGTACTTGGGATACACAGGCAGCCAGGGGCTTGAATGCTGAAGAGAGTACTTGGGATACACAGGCAGCCAGGGGCTTGAATGCTGAAGAGAGTACTTTGGATACACAGGCAGCCAGGGGCTTGAATGCCAAGGAGAGTACTTGGGATACACAGGCAGCCAGGGGCTTGAATGCTGAAGAGAGTACTTGGGATACATAGGCAGCCAAAGGCTTGAATGCTGAGGAGAGTACCTGGGATATACAGTATTGACTATAATACATGCCTTCGTAATTTAGCCCGCTGGTGAGTGCATAGAGTTGGAGGATTGCACACTGCTGGTGACAAGGTGGAGAATTTTTTTGCACCTATTGAACTTTTTCATCTGGATATACCCCGTACTGGCTGGACACATGTATATTGTAGCACTATTGATTATTTCTTTATAGTTATTTTATTCATCATTTATCCATTTATGATATACTGATCTATGTGGAACTTGTGACACCAATTACATTGGAGGTGTCCCCTTTCCTTTTCTTTTTCACTTTTTGCACTAGTATAATGATTGGTTTTTACTTACAGGTATAATTTATGTTTATGCCAGAGAGATATATATATTTTTTAAATATTTAATTTAAGTGCTGTAGCTTCTCCATAAGAATACAAAGATAATTTACATTCATACGTACCACCTAGATGGGGTGCACCCAAGCCTTTCATAGGCATGCCAAGGACAGAAGGAGACGACAGGGTACAAGAAAGCTGTGAAGATCCTAATGGGGAAGAGTCCTGCTCCACCGGACTCAAATTAAAAACACATATTTTGAATGGATATTAAGTTATAGGTCCTGACTTTTGGATTACCAGCCCGTATCAACCTCTGTATCTACTGGGTGTTGCCTCCATGGAAGTAAACTTTGATATCTCACCAGTAGAGGGACCATCCTGATAGATCCCAGAAATTACTTTGAGCCAGACTTCATAACAGGGGCGGACTGACAACTCATGGGGCAATAGGGGATCCTAATGAGGAAGAGTCCTGCTCCACCGGACTCAAATTAAAAACAATTATTTTGAATGGATATTAAGTTATAGGTCCTGACTTTTGGATTACCAGCCCGTATCAACCTCTGTATCTACTAGGTGTTGCCTCCATGGAAGTAAACTTTGATATCTCACCAGTAGAGGGACCATCTTGATAGATCCCAGAAATGACTTTGAGCCAGACTTCATAACAGGGGCGGACTGACAACTCATGGGGCAATAGGGGATCATGGGGCCCCTGTGTCCTTGCCCAAACTCAAAAAAGCCTATGAAAAAGGTACCAAGGGCATCTCATAGGGCCCCCTACTGACCCCAGGCCCTCGGGCAGTGCCCGAGTTTTCAAATGGTCAGTCCGCCCCCTGCTTCATAATGACCCAAGGAAAGAACAAGGACAAGCATACGACTGTTATTTACACCCTATGCTTCCTCCCTGATCTACCTGTGAGCTTTGAGCAGAGTTTCCCTTTAAATGAATACTTGAGACAGTGCAGCCTTCACAACAGGCAGCTGTGAACACGGACATGTTGTAGCTGTTTCACTTTCTAACTGTGTGATTTCTATTATTTGTACATTTTTGTATGTGCTGCACACAATGATGGCTTCTATTAAAATTGATACTGTCTTGTAATAACGCTGTGCAGTTATTTCTGGGTGCATACTGTATATACCTTGTGCATAGGATACAGATAGGAAAATGTTTAATTTTTAGGATCCTCTAACTTACTGGAGGCAATATTACAGCCAAATTAGCAAAATAAGGGGCTGAACCACATATAGAGAATTTGCCTGTACTGTTATAGATTGAACAATTTCTGCCCTGTTACTGCACATTGGGCCAGGGTGTAAAAGATTTTTTTCTGTCAGTTATCTGGATCATCTAGGCTTGATAAAGAATTTTTTAAAGAGCATTTGAAAGGATGCCTATATACCAGGGGCGGACTGACAACTCATGGGGCCCCCGGGCAATAGGGGATCATGGGGCCCCTGTGTCCTTGCCCACACTCAAAGCACACCCAAAAAAAGCTTATAAAAAAAGGTACCAGTGGCATTTCATGGGGCCCCCTACTGACCCCGGGCTCTCGGGCACTGCCCGAGTACTCGAATGGTCAGTACGCCCCTGCTTTATACTTAAAGCGGAGTTCCAGCTGAAAAAAAAAAAAAAGTCAACAGGTACAAAAACTGTAGCTGCTGACTTTTAAAATACAGACACTTACCTGTCCCTCGGTCCAGCTGTGTCCTCCCCACTGCTGATTTCACTGGCCGTCTTCTCTCCCCGGTGCCGGCATCTTTAGTATGGGCACCCGGCTATGACAGCTTGCGGCTTCACAGTTGGGTGCCCACTGCGCATGTGCGAGAATCACTGTGCTTTGTGAATGGCCCCGTAGTCTTCTGGGACCTGTCATGTGCCCCAGAAGATTATGGGGAGGGATGGGGGAGAACAACTTCCGCTTACGATTGCCTTAGGCGATCCCAGCGGAAGTGGGAGGGGGTACCTGTCAAACTCAGGTACCCACTCCCCCGACACTCCTCAAAGGTACCAATCCTTAATGCGGAGTAGAGGACAAAGATTTAAAGCGGAACTTCCCTTTTTCAGTGGATCTCCACTTTAAAAGCCCCGTATTTTTGTATGCTATGTATCCTATATGCATCTGTTTGCCTTTAAAGATGAATGTTTAAATATATCAGCTACAAAGGATAAAAATCCACTTTTAGTACACCAAATGCTTTTGGAAGCCCAGATACTACATTGCACAAGTAATGGTGGGATCATCACTGTGCACTTTTCAGAGAGCAGGGCTCTGGGAGGGACCTAGCAGGCTCCACCCACTACAGGCTGTCTGCAGAATACTACAGGAGGGGGCGGAGACAAGACCAGTCGCACTGCACAAGAGGAGAGAGCAGCAGTGACCAGTCTTTATTTATTGCAGGAAGCTCCTTCTCAGACACAAAGGAGCTGTTTCCTCCTGACTCCTGAATGAAACACACAGAAGACACTGAGATGAAATCAAGAATACACATGGCTTTTGTGTATAGACAATGTTTGTTAGCCTGACTACAGCCTGACTACAGTTCAGCTTTAACCCCTTCCTAACCAGCCCTTTTCTTCCCTTTTACCGGGTCTCTATGCCGGGAGGGAGTGGGAAGGACTGCTCGATCATGTGACCACTGTGATTGGCTGTCACGGTGGTAGCATGATTGGTAGCTGATCCTGCCAACTTCTGTTCATTACTAGAGACTATAAGCTATCTATGGCATCTTGGTCAGCATGCGGTCAGCACAAACCTCAGCCGTACATGGATGCATATGTGTGGTGTGTGCGTTAAAGCCCACCCTCTTTACCGCCACACATATGTGTTACATGGGTGACAACAGGTTAAATAAGGTAGTACATGCAGATGAAAAAAAAAAAAAAAATTTTTATTATAAAAAAAGTAAAGTATAAAAAGTATTTTAAAGTTTATGAAACACAGATTTCAAACATTTAGCTTCAAAATGAAATAACTGCTTGCATGCATATATTTTCACTTGGAGTTTCTATGTACACAGGGATACTGTGGTCAGCGGTAGAGTAAGAATAAAATGTGGAATAGGAGAGAATCCAGCAAATTATAGTTCGGTTGTCCATCTCTATCCTTGATGTCAGTCCACCAAAACACCTCTGTCCTTGAGGTCAGTCTACCAAGACATCTATGTTCTTGAGGTCAGTCTACCAAGACATCTCTATCCTTGATGTCAGTCCACCAAAACATCTCTGTCCTTGAGGTCAGTCTACCAAGACATCTATGTTCTTGAGGTCAGTCTACCAAGACATCTCTGTCCTTAAGGTAAGTCCACCAAAAAATCTCTATCCTTGAGGACAGTCTACCAAAACATCTCTGTCCTTGAGGTCAGTCCACCAAGACATCTCTGTTCTTGAGGTCAGTTTACCAAGACATCTCTGTTCTTGAGGTCAGTCTACCAAGACATCTCTGTCCTTGAGGTAAGTCCACCAAAAAATCTCTGTCCTAGAGGACAGTCCACCAAAACATCTCTGTCCTTGAGGTCAGTCCACCAAAACATCTCTGTCCTTGAGGTCAGTCCACCAAGACATCTCTGTTCTTGAGGTCAGTCCACCAAGACATCTCTGTTCTTGAGGTCAGTTTACCAAGACATCTCTGTCCTTGAGGTAAGTCCACCAAAACATCTCTGTCCTTTCAGTCAGTCCACCAAAACATCTCTGTCCTTGAGGTCAGTCCACCAAGACATCTCTGTTCTTGAGGTCAGTCTACCAGAACATCTCTGTACTTCAGGTCAGTCCACCAACACATCTGTATTCTTCAGGTCAATCCACCAAAACATCTCTGTCCTTGAGGTCAGTCTACCAAGACATCTCTGTATTTCAGGTCAGTCCACCAACACATCTGTATTCTTCAGGTCAATCCACCAAGACATCTCTGTTCTTCAGATCAGCCCACCAAGACATCTCAGTTCTTGGTAAATACCATTGTGTCACATAAACCTCCAACTCTGGAGGTAAGACCTCTACACCTGTGTTTCCAGCTGCACCTCTGGCCACAGATTTGTATTTTAGCTGGTCCTGCTCTCCTTAATGGATTTATTTTACAATATGGAACATGCAGGAGCAATGGCAGCAGTTGTGGGAACTACAGTGGGGAAACCTTCTTAGGGGAGTCAATAACAAGCCAATGTATGATTTTGTGCAGGATCATCAACACATAAATGGAACACAGATTTGTAAAACTTTACCTCTAAGGGTAACTGCAAATCTCCAGCAAGTATAGACTAATGGTGTTAATAGGAGGTGATTAGAGCATACAGTTGGCACTCACCACCTTCCCTCTGTTCCACCTTTGAAGTGAATTGTATATAGCACTGACCCATTACAGAAGTCATTCACAGCTGTTCCTACCCCGGGGGGCCAACAATCTAATGTCCCCGCTGCAGTCAGATGAACACACATTTTAGGGCTAATTTTGGTGAAAGCCAATCCTTGTTTTTGATTAGTAGCAGGATAACGGAGCGTTTAGGAATACCCACTTGCCGTTTGGACGATTTACCCCCCTTCATGACCAGGCCATTTTTGTGCTATACGTCACTGAACTACTTTAACTGACAATTGCACGGTCATGCAACATTGTGCACAATGAAATTTATATCATTTTTTTCACACAAATAGAGCTTTCTTTCGGTGGTGTTTGATTATAATCACTGGGTTTTTTAATATTTTGTGCTATAAATGAAAATACCGAAAATAAACAAAGTATAAAAAAAAAGTTTTTACTTTTTGCTATAAAACATATCCAATTAAAAAAATAAATAACATTTCTTCATAAATTTAGGCCAAAATGTATTCTGCTACATGTCTTTGGTAAAAATAAAATTCTAACAAGTACATATTAATTGGTTTGCGTGAAAGTTATAGCGTTTAAAAATGGAGGTATTTATACTGGAATTTTTATTTATTTTATCCTAGTAATAGTGGCGATCAGCGACCTAATGCGGGACTGTGATAGTGCGGTGGCCATTCTGACACTAACTAGGGCAGCACAGTGGCTAAATGGTTAGCACTTCCGCCTGGCAGCACTAGGGTTGTTGATTCAAATCCCAGCCACGGCACCACCTGCCTGGAGTTTGCATGTTCTCCCTGTGCCTGTGTGGGTTTTTTCCGGGTACTTCGGTTTCCTCCCACACTCCAAAGACATGCTGGTAGGTTAATTGGCTCCTGTCTAAATTGTCCCTAGTATGTCTATCTATGAATGTGAGTTAGGGACCTTAGATTGTACACCCCTTGAGGGTTAGGGACTGATGTGAATGTACAATATATATATGTATGTAAAGTGCTGCGTAAATTGACAGCGTTATATAAGTACCTGAAACAAATAAATAACTGACACTAGGTGGGAAATGACATCTCCAGTGACACTAATACAGTGATCAGTGCTAATAAAAAGCACTGACACTGGGCAGGAAGGCCACATCTGGGGTGATCAAAGAGTTAAAGAAGAAATCCAGGCAAATTTTTTATTTTCCAATGCAGTTAAATGCTTGTTTTTGTCTAGGGGCCCGGAAAGTAGAGATATACTTACCTAATCCACTTATCCTCTGAGCACAATGGGCCCCACCGCTCCCTAGCGGTCTTGTGAATGGGATGTTCTTGACATCATCATGCCCATAGAACGTGCGGACAGCAGGAACAGTCCACCGCTGGACATGGGGGAGCACAGTTTTCCAGAGGATTGGAGTACAGGGTAAGTACATCTTTTCCCTGAGCCCCTAGACAAAACGAGCACTGAACCCATGCGGTGCGGGCACAGCCCCACTGCATTAGGAAAAAAAAAATTAGCTGGAGATCAGCATTAACTGGGTACTAGGGAGTGATTAAACTGTGTACTGTTTAGTTTTTTTTTACTGGGGACATGCTGGCTTTTATCTGTCTGCTTTGCAAGTCTTCATCCCTGCTGACGGGAGAGAGATCTGTATTGTTTACACTCACAGATCTCTCTCCTGTCAGCTGCACCACCGTTCACCGAGTCCCAGCCATGAAATGCTGGCCAGTACACGGTGATTGACACCTATGGGAGCCAATGATAGTGTGGGTATCACACAAACACATATATATATATATATATATACACACATACACACATGTGTGATTTTGCGCAGAGCGGCTGCGCTGTAGCAGTAAAACTGCTATAGGGAGGTCGGTAAGTGGATGTATTGTACAAACGCCAGGTTGTAAGACCTTAGTGATAAATATAAAATCACTTAAAAAAACCAAATATCTTGACTTGCTGGAGGTTTGTTAATTTCCCTTAAGTGGAAACCTGTCATGAAGAAAATTAATGGTTTGTCATTGCAAACTTCTGGAAATGCTGGTTGCCTGATTGTCTCTGGCCATAATTCTGAATCTCTTCTCTGGAACAAGGGTGCAGAATCTGCAGTCAGAACTCTTTGTACTTGTTCAAGGTAAGTGACCCAGCTTTTAAAGGGTTAGTTAACAAAAACTGCATAAAAAGTGCTAGCAATGAGGAGGAATAGTGGGACACCATTTCTTGGAGTTTTTCAGCCAGGATTACATTAGGGGGCCTGCACAGTTTGTTTTTTCTACATAGGCAATTTTTTTTGGTAAATGTGAACTATCCCTTTAAGCTATAGGAGCTGCAAGACAGCCAGGCAACTAGCAATTTCAGAGGTGGACCATCAGTGATAGCCTTTGTGAATCTTTTATCACAGGTTTCTATGAAGGAGGATACAAGTTTATGAGTTAATACATTCTGATAATCTACATATCCCTTAAGATCAGGCACTGCAACATGCTGATATCACATGACAAAGACATGGGGTAATAATGTCATTAAAAACAACTGACCACATACATTATTTACAGAAATATCTGGCAGTGTTCAGCTTTTTGTACAGTGTTATATATACAGTTCATGGTCCTGGCAAACATCTACAGTTTGCTGGAGGCTAAAGTCACCCCAAAATTATATTTTAGTTATGGATGCACAATGTGGGTCAAAATAACTTCTTTCTTCACCTTAAAAAAAACAAAAAAAAAAAAACAGTTAAGCTTCTTTAACCCCCAAACGTAATGTGAGCTAAAACGAGTGCCTACTTACCTCTTTATGACGCCCATGGCCTCCTCTCCTATTTACAGCCTCTTACCATAAATCATCTTCAGTGCTGACCACAGCTACGGACTATGTCCCTATAGATTGGAAAGGAACTGCACCCCCAGCATCTCTAGTTTAGTATGTCCCATTCAAGTCTAGTTAGTGCACAGATGTAGCTAGTGAAGAATATTTGTGCACAGAGGTTATTGCCATCAGGAAAGGTAAATAGTCACCTTTGGTGGGTGTGGGAAGTGTTCTAGCTCACATTAGGTTAGGGAGCTAAATAGGGTGGGACACATTTTTTGAAGGTGAAGCTATTTTCTAAAGATAACCTGCTGCATTTTGTAAGCCAAGGAGAAAACAGGAAAATAAAGACCCCTTTGTATTGGTGAAGCAGGTAGGTGGAGCCTTAGATGTGTGGCTGCCAGAAGATATAAGGCACCAGGAAAGGCTACATCCACAACTAAAGATCCTGGTATGAGCCACCTGACCTGTTACTGTCCTCCAGTGTTGTGGTTCTCTTTCCCTTTTACTTCATTGTCATAGTTCGATCTTTCTCAGTTAAGGAAAACTTTTTCTGGGCCACATGTAAGTCTACATGTTCTACCAGGAGGACCAATTACTAGCACTGAGAGTAAACAGGGGCAGGAAATTGACTACAGAAGCTGTTCTGGTAAATGTTCGGTGAGGGAGGAGGACTTTCCTCTCCAGATTCAGACATCATAAGGTAGGCATATTTCAGAGGCTGGCGAGAGGGGAATTGAGCGGGTTCTGGGGGTTAAAAGTCCATCACATGTCTCTAAAACTGTGTACTCAAAACTGGATGCGGGGCTGTGCTTCCCCTCCTCTGAATGTAGAGAGTCCTCTCTGAGAATGGTCCTACAGCTAGGTAGACCTTTTATTGTCATTATCTCAGTGCCATATGTGGCTGGCTCCTCTGCAGTAGTCAGCTGCCTGATCTCCTCTGGCTCCATTGGACTTTCTTCTGTCTCTTGTGGCTTTCCCTCTCTCCTGATGATCTTCCCATCATCTGCTGGGATAGACTGAGCTCTCAGTACATCGTCTTGTCTTTGAGATACCATGCGTGACATCAAAGGGGGTAAAATATTCTCATCCAAAGCAACATAACTGTCTTTTGGTGGTAGTGGTACAGGAAGCAAGAGGGATTGAGGAGCATTGGGAGATTCTGATAATACTTCCAGTGTCGTGATGGGACCTTCATGAAAAATATTTCTTGAGATCCACATAAGGTATGAGTCCGTATGGCCTAGCCATGTCTGCAAATGAATAACAGGTCAAAAGCCTAGTTAATATCTAAATGAACAAAGCAAAGAACATTCACCTTAATTAATCAACGTTTCTTAAGAAAACATTTATTGATTCTCAAGGATCAATCTGCTTCAGGGGTGGACTGACCATTTGGAAACTCAGGCATTGCCCGAGGGCCCAGGGTTAGTAGGGGGCCCCATAAAATGCCCCTGGTACCTTTTTCATAGGCTTTTTTGAGTTTGGGCAAGCACAGAGGGGCCCCATGATCCCCTTTTGCCCGGGGGCCCCATGAGTTGTCAGTCCGCCCCTGATCTGCTTCTTTAACTCTCCCATACTGTTTGTTAAGAGTATAAAGCACAGTAATTCCTGCTTTTGATACCTTCATAATAAAGGTTTTACTTATAACACTCCATGGCATGGTTACCTTGAAATTCCCTTTATGGGTGGAATAAAGTTCCTTAAAGTGGTGTTCCGGAGTTGGGATATCTGGCCACATCTTACTCTTGAGGAAACTAGGAGGACAGACATGAGTCAGTGATGTATTATACAGCATGCAGTTATCATACACTACTTCTTCAATGGTTTCATTTACCTTTTTTGATAAACAACCACCACGCAGATGGCAGTTAGTACCACAGCGCCGGCAAAAATAAACAACACGATGTGAATCTGATCAAACCCTTGAAAAATAATCCAAAATTAATAATTAGTCATTTGGTTAGTCTTTTTTTTTTAATTTAAGGTATGCAAAACAACATAACAGCATGGCATGACAGACCATGTACAACAACCTCTGACAGCATAGATATGTGAATCCCAAACAAACATAGTAGGGGAAGTCTAATCTAGAGTAGACAAGGCTCCAGGACAAAGAAAGGCAATGTCATTAGCTTTATACATTAAGGATCTTTGCTTTACGGATAGGCATAACCTGTATTGTGGTGGGAGGATAATAGGAAACATGGCCGACATGTACATACCAAGGAGATGGAACAGGAAGACAGGCACAGGGCCACAATGAGGTGGAAAATAAAATGTCCTGTCCTCCAGGCCGTAGCACCTAGCAGTTGAAGCTTCCCGGGGAAGGTTTTCTAGATTTTGGAGGGGGAAGATAGACTCTCTAAGTGAAAGAAAGAAGAAGAAAGAAAACAAAAATGTCCTGTCCTCCAGGCCGTAGCACCTAGCAGTTGAAGCATACCGGGAAGGTTTTCAGATTTTGGAGGGGGAGGATAGACTCCCTAAGTGAAAGAAAGAAGAAGAAAGAAAAAATGAGGGGGGTGGGAGAGGGAAAGCAAAGAATGTGAGCTTCGGCAGAGTTGACGGTGTAAGAAGTCAATCTCTTCCAGAGGAATAATCTCGATTTAGGAGTAGGTCAAGTACTCATCTGAGAAATAGAACATGTCCCAATATCGCCAGCGTGTATTATGTTCCTCTGTTTTGTCTCGGAGGGCAGCAGTAAGTTGTTCCATCTGCAGGGTATGCATGCCCTAGCTGCATTCAGGAGATGTTTGGTCAAGTTAAGGAGCACTGCAGCTGGGTTATCCATGAGGGAGATATCTGTAAGTTAATGAACTATCTGCAGGACTTTTTGCCAAAAAAGAGCTTCTTACAATCCCAGAAGATATGAAGTAGAATGCCTTCCTGATAACCTTATTGCCAGCATAATGGACTATGTCCAGGAAATATGGACACTAGGGTTGGAGTCCACTACCAATGCGTCAAGATTTTGTAGGTGTTTTCCTGGTATTTACTGCAGAGGGAGGACTTGTGAGCAAATAGAAGTACCCGGGACTTTTGGTCTTCCAACAACGTGGTGTTAAGATGTCTCTCCCAAGGAGGATCATGTTGAGATATAGTTGCAAGTAGAATACCATAGGATATAGAAAGGGATTTTCTCAAGGGTTCCTGTCTTAGACATAAGCACTCAAAAGAAGAGGGTTGTCTGAGAAACAGGCATGGTGTGGGAGAGACATGGTGTCGCAGAAAGTGGGACGGTTGCAGGATTTTCCATTTACTCAAGGCAGATGAGCTGAGGGTATTAAATAGGACTGAGGGGTGAACCTATCCTAAAGAACCAAGAAAGGTAAAGGCTCTGACCAGGTTTAGGTCCAGGTGTAGTTGGAAGGCCCTGTCAGAGAGACCGGGATGAAATCTGGGTGGCCGATATTAGATGTCAGTGGAGCTAGGAAACTAGATATCTTGGCAATCCTGTAATATCCATGGAGTTCCAGTAGAGTGGATTCGATTAATGGGTGTGGAGAAGGATATCTGTAGAAAAGGACTCCAGCCCTGGTTAGTCTTTTTTGTCTTCACTACAACATACCTGTTTTGGGTATGCATATCAAAAGCTAAAATAAAGCCCAACTCCAGCAAATCTTGGATCTATCCAAGCTTGGATAGACTTGGGGAGGGTTATAACCTCTGTCAAGTTTTTATTTGTGTCTATGTCCCTGTTTAGGAGGAGTTGGACTTACATGAGGATGCAACTTTATTCCCCTTCCTAAGTGTTCTGTGGCTCATTATGCATGTGTTGACTATTTGCTTCAAAGATAGAGGTCTGGCTTAACCCTAGTGTCTCATTCTGTAAACTATGCTGCATTTGAAATACTTAGGACTACCCCACTCCTTACACTGTGATAAAAATTACATATTTTGGTCTACACCACCCCATACATTGTGCTGTACGTGACATATTCTGGTTTATCCCACTCCATACACTGTGCTGTACGTGACATATTCTGGTCTATCCCACTCTATACATTGTGCTGTACGTGACATATTCTGGTCTATCCCACTCCATACACTGTGCTGTAGGTGATCAACTTTGGACTGACCCTCTCCATACACTGCTGTACATTACATACTTTGGACTACCCCACCCCATACACTGTGATGTAAGTGATGAACTCTGGACTCCCCCACTCCAAACACTGCTCTAAGCTCAACTCTACACACTGTAATGAAAGTGACATACACCGAACTGCTGAAATTCATACTTTGTGCTGCACATGACATCTTCTGGACTGCCCTACCCTTTACACTTTGCTATCAGTGTCATAATCTGGACTACCCCAATTCACACACTGCTTAGCTGCGGCCCTATGGCTCCATTCACACACTGCGTTTAGCAACGTTTTCATACCATACGGTTTTATACATTTAGGAAGAATAAAAATTACAGCATCCAAGAGCGATGTACCACAGCATAAATGCAGTTAGTCGCAATACAAAGAAAAAATAAACAGTTGCTATAGAAAAGGCAAGAATTTACTACACAACCAAATGTAAACGCACGTAATTGCAGATAAATGCAATGAACAAATGCCAGTGATCTCTGTGCCAGAAGTGTTATCATTTCAAAATTTAAAAAAAACATGCATTTACAAGCGGTAGAACAACCGCCCGTGTGAAAGAGGCCTAAGTGTTATGTGTGAGGGGAATGACTTTTGATGGTGGGGGGACCTCTGTGTCAGCTCCCCATGTTCCCTTCATTATGTTTAACCCACCCTGTGCCTGTTAAGGGGTACAGGGTGGGAATGTCTATTGTGTATCGGTGTGGGGATGGTCCATTGTTCACTGCCATGTGGTTGATCATTGTTCTCTGCCATGTGCTGCATCCCATTGTTCTGTGTCTTGGTTGGGTGGGGGGTGTTTCCTGCAGCCCTTCCCACTGATGGGGCGGGCTGCTGATGTGTTTCCTGTTCCTGGTTGTATTTCCCCGCCATATGTATATATCTTGTGTGTCAGCGGGTGTGGTCCGTGGATTTGTGTTCGGACAGGGAAGCGGGAGTCTAACGGAAATACCCAAGTGCAGTCTGGGTCCGGTTCCATTACATTATGCTTTGGATTGTTCCACTCCATACAATGTACTGTAAGTGTTATACTCTGTAGGACTACCCTATTCCACATACTGTGGGGGAGATTTACTAAAACTGGAGCACTAAGATACTTCTTACCGTTCTTTTAAATTCTGGCCATGTATACTGAGTCTTGTAGTTGTGTGAATCAAAGGATTGCTGCTTGTAGTTCTTTTCTTGAGGTATCAATCCTGATTTTCCTTCTTTGACTCTCTGGTCAAGATTTACTAAAACTAGTGCACTCGGAATCTGGTGCAGCTGTGTATGGTAGCCAATCAGCTTCTAACTTCAGCTTGTTCAATTAATGTTTGACAATAAAACCTGGAAGCTGATTGGTTTCTGTGAACAGCTGCACCAGATTTTGCACCACGCAGTTTTAGTAAATAACCCCCACTGTGCTGTAAGTGTTATATTTTGGACTGCTCCACTCCATACACTACGCTGCGCAGGATCGTCGGCATGCAACCTCTACGGGTTGACACCGGACCCGCTACAAGAAAAGGTAAGTTGTAATGAAAGCCGACAACCCCCGCAGGATGGATCGGATCCATCCTGCGGGGATCTTCGGCTTGCATTACAACTTACCTTTTTGTGGAGCGGGTCCAGTGTCACCCTGTGCGATCGGTGTCACCCGGTGCAGAGCGCACCCCCCGCACCTGCCTCGGGACGCCACTGGCTGCGGGAATGCACATGGTTTTGTGTTCGTGAACCTAGCCTTAGAACACACAGAAGGGGATTAGAGAAATGTGGACCGTGTATTTGGACAAACTCACCACTGGATGTATGATAAGTAGTGACGACCCAAGCACTCCAATACCCATCGTGAGGGCTGTCTGCTCTCATTCTCACGTTGATTGTATACTCAGTATCTCTTTGAATGTCATCAAGGAAAATCGGCACCAAACCATCCTCTGAATCCACCTAAAATGTAGAAATGATACTGTCTGTAACATACCAATTCACAGGCTGTGTAGATGGATACCAAAATGTACTGCTAGATATGGTGCTTGAGTGCAACTTGCTTTAGTAAATTGCTTTTAACAGAATAATGGGATGGATTTACTGAAAGCAAACAGATTGTGCACTTTGCAAGTGCAGTTGCTCCTGAGCTTAGTAAATGAGGGGAAGCTCAGCTGACCTCCATCCTGCAATCATGTACAAGCAAAAATGCTGTTTTTTTTTATTTTCTTATTATACTAAAGTTCTGGAGCAGCTGTCCTGGCATCGTGAAAAAGAGAGGAAGGTGCCTCTAAGTGCAGTATTGACAATTTATTCAGTAAACAATGGAAAATGTGCACTTACAAGATAAATGGTTAAAAAGACTGATCGTGTGGTAATTAGATCCAGGTGGGACATCCAGCCGTCCAGCAGCAGACTATGCCTATAGGATCAGGAAGTAGAGTCCAGGGCTGAAGAAGGAGCCTATTGAGCATGCTCCGAAATGCATTACCGCCCCCTTCACCTGCTACATCTGACTCTGCTCTCCAAGCTTCAATTTTTGATGCACAGGCACATCTTGGACTCTACTTCCTGATCCTATAGGTATAGTTTGCTGCTGGATGGCTGGATGTCCCACCTGGATCCAATTACCACACAATGAGTCTTTTTAACTGTTTATCTTGTCAGTGCAAATTTTCCTTTGTTTACTGAATAAATTGTTAATACTGCACTTAGAGGCGCCTTCCTCTCTTTTTCTTGTTACTGCATTAGAGCCTTGCTTCCACTCTAAGAAGAGCTGCCTCAGTGTTACTGCTCCCATCCATCCATCCATCCATCCCTGATATCCATCTGGTACCTTTATCCTACAGCTACAGAGGTTGGGCTCCAACAAGCGCGCCCTATACAATATACATGTCCTCGCATAGTGCACAGGCTATTTGTCTTTAGTAAATCAACCCCAATGCAAGGTTTATATATGTAATAGAGCAACGGCAACCCAAAACTTGTCTAGTGCAGGGTCAGCTTCTTTTATAGACCTAACCATTGCTTTTGACAACATCCCAATTACAACCATAGCAATTAGATGATTGAGGCATGAATTGGACAAATGTTTCCACATCTGACACAATCTTATGTACAGTATGTGGATGCCAACAATCTTGAAGGACAGACTAGCGAGTGGACAAAAAACCTTGTTTAACCTCTTGGCGCCGGCCGAACGCAAATGTGCGGCCTCCCGGTGTCTGGCCCTAGACGCCGAGCGGCCGCACATTTGCGTTCTATTAAAAAAGAAAACATGTGCTGAGAGCGTGCGCCCTGCGCGCTCCCAGCACACGTCCAGTATTCACAGAAAGGTCCCAATCTCCATTTTCGATCAGCACCTTTCCCGATCATGTGACCACCGTGACAGCGTGTCACGGTGGTCACATGACCCTAAACCCCACCCCGCCTCCTGGCTTCTGAAACCCTTAAACCAAGGGGTTAAGCAGGAACTATACTACATCTGAGCACCAAAAACTAGTGGTGCACCAAAATAAAAATTCTGGTGCCGAAACCGATACCGAAAATTCAGAATTCATGTGGCCGGAAACCGAACTGAAACCGAAATGTCTGCGTATGTGGGGGTGGGGAGGCTCCAATTTTTTTTTTCCTACTTTCATGTATATTTTTATTTTTTTAACTTATGATTTTATAGCTATCACATAGGGGACCAATAGTCCCCTATGTGATAGCATATGAGTGACAAACCTCTTTGTAGGGAGGAGGGGGTTGGGAGCAGTGTGTGCAAGGAGGGGGCAGTATGTGAAAGGAGGGGGTGGGGAGCAGTGTATACAGTGAGGGAGCAGTGTATACAGAGAGGCTCCCTCACTGGCTATCACTACATGTCGGCGCTGATTTTTAAATGCAATTGCCGGCTTTTTTTTTTTTTTTCACTATAGCGCACAGAGTTAGCTGTCACTTTACCTGGAGCTAAAGGAAACTTTGTTTCTTTTATCTCAGAAAAGAAACTAAAAGGAAACATTGTTTCTTTTAAATCCAGGAAATAAACTGAAAAGGAAACTTTGTTTCTTTTAAATCCAGGAAATGAACTAAAAGGAAACGTTTCTTTTTGCTGGGGGAAAGTGACAGCTGACTCTCTGAGCTATAGCGAAGGAAAAAAAAAAAAACTAAAAGGAAAACGCCAGTAATTACATTTAAAAAACCGGCACTGACCTATAGTTACAGCCAGTCACTGTATACACAGCTCTTCTCCTGCCTTTCTCCGCCGCTCCGCCCCCCCCCCCCCATCTGCAGTACACACAGTCCCCTGTATCGGCACCTGTATCGGCTACATTCTTCCTATCTGCAGAATGCCGATAGGGCTATTTTCGGCCGATATGTTTCAGTGGCTGAAATTTTCGATGCATCCCTACCAAAAACCCTATTTATGTAATTTTTATTATTCAAAGCAAATGCACCCATCCATCCATGTTTCCATGCTGTATGTTGAGAAATCACTTTGAAATAGGGAGTAAGGGCAGTTGATTCATGTAGCCTTTACTTCATGGAATCAGTCTGCCCTTAGTTCAAACATGCAGGCAGGAGTGTGTACATAGCTGCGAAAACCCCTCATCACCCCTTACCTGAGCAAACATCATTTGCCTAGGCATGGAAACCAGGAAGTAACTGAAGAAATATACCAAAAAAGTTTGAAACAAGTAAATATGATATATACATTCCTATCTATTTATTAATGCTAGCAGCGTAAGGATTAAAAATAGTCAATTTTGATCATGAGAGTGAAGTTCCACTTTAAGGTAACACTAAGGATTCATTTATACATGCGGCAAGAACTGAAGCTCCATGCTCGGATCACTTTTTAAAGGCGTTTGCCAGATGGTGAGGAGGCAGTATGTCACCTCTTCATTACCTGTTTTGACCCCCTAAATGCCGCACTACCATGGCACAACCGCATGCATTTCTTGCTGTTGTGGAGCGGTTGCAGCTTGGCCCATTTGACATAAATAAGTTGCGTGCAGCGGACCTGGAGTTGCAGTGGGTACTACACTGATTTCCAGCTTCTAGAGGGATCCCACAGGTATGGTATATACTGTATAGAGTTCCATTGGTCCAAGCTGGACTAACTCTCATACCTGGAATTCTTTAACTAAAATTCTAAAAGGCAAACTAAAGATAAATGAATGAAGTACCTTATACTTGTTAAATGTCTTCAAGTTCTTCTCTTTGGGGCTTGTATATGAGACTTGATACATCATACAATCTTTGAGATTATTGTCCTTCACTTGGTTCCAAAAGCTGATCAGCAATCCCATGGGGCTTCTTTGTTCCATCACTTTAATATTGATTGGAGGTTCCACATATACTAAAAACAGAGGGCTAAGTGAGACCTTTGAACTTGATGACATTTACCAAACTCAGCACCATTCTATCCATGTAGAAAGCTGGGACTTATGGAGATGACATGGAATCAAAGAAAAATGTTTTCCATCTGACCTCCCTTGGCTCTTATCCTTGGATATGACACTAACAGCAACACACTGGCTAAATGGTTAGCACTTCCGCCTGGCAGTATTAGCATCGTTGGTTTGAATCCCAACCACGGCACCACCTGCCTGGAGTTTGCATGTTCTCCCTGTGCCTGCCTGGTTTCCTATGGGTACTCCAGTCTCCTCCTACACTCCAAAGACACACTGGTAGGTTAATTGTCTAAATTGTCCCTAGTATGTGTATGTATGAATGTAAGTTAGGGACCTTAGATTGTACACCCCTTGAGGGTTAGGGACTGATGTGAATGTACAATATAAGTACCTGAAATAAAAATAAATGAAACAGGCTCTTTCAATAAACTTCAAGGAGCTAAGTATAGTACTTGCAGCAGTTTTTGTCTTCTACTGGTCTGGTATTAGGTAAATTCTGATTCCTAATGTTTGTTAAAGAATATTGCACATTAAAGGGCAACTTCACGCTGAAAGATGTGTGCAAAAAAAATCAAGCAGAGGTCAAGGGACTAGTCCCAGGTATTGCCTGGGGTCTACCCCCATCTGATCTTTTCCCATTACTGATGGACAATGCCTTGTTTTATGCTGTGTCTCTGTGTGGAGGAGGCCATGTTGGTAGAGGCAGAGCTTTGCTTCCTCATTTCAGATCCTCCAGCAAAGAGATCAGTGAGCAGCACAGTAGTGACAGCATCAAAAAAATGTGTGCTAGCAATATACAGTACTTGTATCCCTAGTCTGCACCTCAACATGGGCTGTAGATCCCTATTGCGCACTTGGTGCTAAGATCCTGGCACCATAAAAAAAACTGATTTGTGTTTCTAATGTGAAAGTAGATTGAGAAATATCTTACCAACACGCTCTGGGCTGAGATTGCGCCAGTATAAAGTGGTATTACTCTGGTTGTCCCACACGGATATGACAAAGGGTTTTACACTAAATAAACTGAAGTGGTCCTCTGGAAAATGACACAAGTGCCACCAGGAATCTTCTGAGGCTTTCACCGTTGTTAAATTGCACGACACCCTGTGGGATTAAACAATGACTTTGTCATACTTCATCAATTTCTGTCACTGTGCAAGCAAATTTTATTATATAATAGTACACCATGTTTTCAGCTCCTGCTGGGTCAAAGTGCAGAATAAATCAAATGTTGACTGTGAGACAGTACACAAGAAGTTCCCCTTCTATTGGACCACAGTGCACAGTAAATCCACCTTCCATTGGATCACAGTTCACAGGGTGTCAACCTTCTATTGGACCATGGTGTAGGAAGTGCTAATGTTCCATTGGTCTACAACACACAATGCATTCACCTTCTATTGATTCACAGTGCACAGTACATCCATGTTCTATTGGACCACAGTGCACAGTGTGTTAACATTCTATTGGACCACAGTGCACAGGGTATCCCCCTACAATTGGACCACAATGCACTATTTGCTAATGTTCCATTGGACTACAGTACACAGTGCATCCATATTCTGTTGGATCACAGTGCACAGTGCATCCACCTTTTATTGGACTACAGTGCACAGTGCATGCATCTTCAATTGGACTACAGTGCACAGTGCATGCACCTTCTGTTGGACCACAGTGCATAATTTGCTACCCTTCCATTGGACTACAGCACACAGTGCATCCACCTTCTGTTGGATCACAGTGCACAGTGCATCCACCTTTCATTGGACTACAGTGCATGCATCTTCAATTGGACCACAGTGCACAGTGCATGCACCTTCTGTTGGATCACAGTGCACAATTTGCTACCCTTCCATTGGACTACAGTGCACAGTGCATCCACCTTCTACTTGACCACAATGCACAGTGCATCCACCTTGTATTGGACTACAGTACACAGTGCATGCACCTTCAATTGGACCACAGTACACAGTGCATGCACCTTCAATTGGACCACAGTACACAGTGCATGCACCTTCAATTGGACCACAGTACACAGTGCATGCACCTTCAATTGGACCACAGTACACAGTGCATGCACCTTCAATTGGACCACAGTACACAGTGCATCCACCTTCTATTGGACCACAGTACACAGTGCATGCACCTTCAATTGGACCACAGTACACAGTGCATCCACCTTATATTTTACCACAGTGCACAGGGTGGTAACCTTCTGTTAGACCACAGTTCACAGGGTATCCACCTTCTACTGGATTAAAGTGCACAGTACATCCAACTTTTATTAGGCCATAGTACATTGCATTTCGCTCCTACTGGGGCACAGTTGATCAGATATTAACTGGGGCATCATACACAGTGCACCCAACTTGTATTGGGCCAGTGTACCCCCTTTCATTTGGGCAATGGTACACAACGTACCAACCTTCTATTAGGCAACAGTGCACAATGTACCCACATTCTATCGGGGAATAGTGCACAATGTACCCACCTTCTATTGGGCAATATTGCACAATATATCCACTTTTTATTGGGCCATAGTGCACAATTTACCCACATTCTATTAGGCCACAATGCACCCACCTTCTATTGGACCATAGTGCACAATGTACCCAAGTTGTTTGGGCCACAGTGCACAATGTACCCACCTTCTATTGGGCCACAGTGCACAATGTACCCACCTTCTATTAGGCCACAGTGCACAATGTACCCACCTTCTATTGGGCCACAGTTCACAAAATATCCACCTTCTATTGGGCCACAAAGCACAATGTACCCACCTTCTATTGGGCCATAGTTTACAATGTCACCATCTTCTATTAGGCCACAGTGCACAATGTACCCACATTCTATTGGGCCATAGTGCACAAAATATCCATCTTCTATTGGGCCAAAGTGCACAATGTACCTACCTTCTATTAGGCCACAGTGCACAATGTACCCACCCTCTATTGGGCCATAGGTCACAATGTAATCATCTTCTATTGGGCCACAGTGCACAAGGTATACACCTTCTATTGGGCTACAGTGCACAATGTATCCACCTTCTATTGGGCCACAGTGCACAATGTATCCACCTTCTATTGGGCCACAGTGCACAATGTATCCACCTTCTATTGGGCCACAGTGCACAATGTACTCACCTTCTATTGAGTCACAGTGCACAATGTACCCACCTTTTATTGGGCAACATTGCACAATGTACCCATAGTCTATTGAGCCATAATTTACAATGTCACCATCTTCTATTGATCACAGTACACAAGGTACCCACCAATTATTGGGCCACAGTGCACGATGTACCCACCTTCTATTAGGCCATAGTACACAATGTACCCACCCTCTATTGGGCCATAGTGCACAATATATGCACCATTTATTGGGCCATAGTGCACAATGTATCCACCTTCTATTGGACCATAGAGCACAAATATACCAACCTTCTGTTGGGCTACAGTAAACAATGTACCCAACCTTTTTGGGCCACAGTGCACAATCTACCCACCTTCTATTAGGCCACAGTGCACAATGTACCCACATTCTATTGGGCCATAGTGTACAATCTACCCACAATCTATTGGACCATAGTGTACAATCTACCCACAATCTATTGGGCCACAGTGCACAATCTACCCACCTTCTATTAGGCCACAGTGCACAATCTACCCACCTTCTATTGGACCATAGGTCACATCCTACTCACCTTCTATTGGGCTACAGTGCACAATGTACCCACCATCTATTAGGCCACAGTGCACAATGTACTCATCATCTATTGGGCCATAGTTTTTACAATGTCATCATCTTTTATTGGGCCACAGTGCACAATGTACCCACCTTCTACTGGGTCACAGTGCACAATGTACTCATCGTCTATTGGGCCATAGTTTACAATGTCACCATCTTCTGTTGGGTCACAGTGCACAATGTACCCACCTTCTATTTGGTCACAGTGCACAAGGTACTCACCATTTATTGGGCCAGAGTGCACAATGTACCCATCTTCTATTGGGCTATAGTGCACAATGTAACCACCTTCTATTGGGCCACTGTACATAGTGTATCCACTCCATATTGGGCCACAGAGCATCAACATCCATTAGAAAACAGTGCACAGTGCATCCACCTTTAAATGGTCCATAGTACACATTACAACTAAACTTTGGTAAAAGCTGTTACATAGTGCCCAGTATATTGACATCTATTAGACAATAGTGCACAGTTCACCTGCATTGTATTGAGTCATAGTGCACATCTAAACACTATTAAAACAATAGTGTCAAATACATTGACATTAATTAGACAATAGTGCACAGCGCATACAGCTCCTGCTGGGTTGTAGTGCATAATAGATCAGACTTTGACAAGGCTGCAGTGCACAGTTAGATGTACTCACTCAAGGTTGTCAACGGTGTAATTCAATGTGAAGTTGGAGGTGTCAGATGTGTGGCTCTCCCAGAAACAAGTAAGATTCTCTAATTCCAACATGAAACAGAAAGGGATCACAGTCCTGTTGTCAATGGCATCGTACACTGGAAGTAAAAAAAAATAAGCCAGAGTTTAGAACGGACTCTCGGGGAGGACCCAGTGAATGAAGACGGCTGATTTCTTGGTTTTAGGTGGAGTTGCTATTTAACACTTAAATAAAAACACTCTGTGAATCAGATTTTGAAGTAGGGTAGTTCCATAGCAAGGTCAAAAACAGCAGAACACTGAAAGTGTAGATCAGGTATGGAAATTTTTTTTAAAAAGTTAATTGAATATAAAAAAAAAAAACTAAAGGAACACTGCTGCTAGAAATATGGTGGTCCTAATAAGTGTATAAAGTTAATACTTGTCGGTAATTGAAATACATTTTTTAGTTCACATGAGCTTTTGGATTTTTAAGGCTAGGTTCACCCTTTGCAAAAATAAAGTAGTAAATGCAGTAACATTAATCGTATAATGAATGTGCATTTACTACGTTTATTGCATTGAAGCTTGGATAGCATTGCACCCGCGACACGCTAAGCATGAGTACAAGCCAAGCTCTGCAGGCTTAAATGTAAAAAACTCTCTGTTGATGTTTACCCCCAGCCTCAAGACCGTATGGAGGTATTAACATGCTGTTATCAGGCTGCAGAAAGTGTGGCTGGACTACAGGGGGGTGAGGGATCGCTAGCATGGCTCTTATAGATGGTAGTGGTAAATCATTGGAAGCGAGCCATGGGAATTGATGGCATAGATACTGTATGCACAGCCATGCTGTATTAAAAAAATAAAAAAACATAGCATGCTGCTAGAATATGCACCCTGGGATTCAGGTAAGGAGGGCAATAGTTTGGGATTGGGAGATTATGTATGCAACCACGCTTCATGTTCCACCCTAAAGATGGGTGTAGCATGAAACATGGTTTAAAAATGGAGTCTCCAAACGATAGCCTTTGGGCCAAATGCAGCTTGTTACAAGATTTTACCTGGCCCATAGCAACAGTCAGTGAAAATACCCTGGATGGATAGATGCCCAGGAGATGGTGACTCACCCGGGGCTTTGATGCTGCCTATGGCGGGGTCCGATCAGAGAGCGGTGATCCCTGGGCTGTAGTGCTGCTGACAAGGCAAAGTGTGAGGAGCAGGAAAGAAGACAAACTCCGCCAGGGCCCTCAGCAGTGGATGCCGGGCAGTCACGTGGCCGCCGCCGCAGAGGAGCATTGAGAGGCAGAGTGAGCGGATGGCTGAGCACAGAGGAGAGGGTGACCCACATCCTACGGGACTGCCTAGGACCCAAAGAACTTCACAGAGGGGGCCCTCCCCTGATAGTTAACAGACATCGGTGTACATGAACATTTACTATTGACCACCAGTTAGCACCGACAGAATGGAGGTTTTCTGATCGCTTGATCGTGCTGGAGACCCCCAGTGGAGGAGGAAGGCCAGAGGATGGTGAGCCAAAACTTTAAATGGACTTGTAGTGTCTAAGGGGGGACCACCCTAGGGAGCCAAGGAGGAGGAGAAATAGAGATATAGGTGAGAAGGAGAACTCAGAGACCCCTAGGAGGGAGATCGGTGTGTGAGAAGAAGGAAGGACTCATGGGACATTACCCCTGGAATGGCCCAACCCTAG